GTTCCTAACATGGGAAACAATTCACATAGATGTGTCGATAGTTGATCGTTGAATTTGCCTTGAGGAGATAAAGACACCATGCATAAACGTGACAAGTCTGTCCTATCTGACGATGCCTGATAATGATATTTCTATATCCTTGGGTACGTATTCCATGAATAAACCAATCAGACAAGAAGATTAAGTCGTTGAGCCGTTTAACTTCCCAGACAGATTTGAATAATACAGTCTCTCTGGCTGAATTATACATATTTTAAAGGCATCGAGCCTGTTGAACTGCACGAGCTCAATTTGTGTAGCAGCTACTCCAACAAAACACTGTTCGACGGCTCACGCAATCGCAGTTAATGATCACTAAAGTTGGCTTTACAGTCAAAACAAAATGTATACACGTTAAGCCGAATTAAAAAAACCACCAGTTTCTCGTCCGGGAGTTTTGAAAAATAATGAAGGAGGCGGAAGCTTATTTTGCTTTACTTTTTTATTTCCAAAATGGCGGATTTTCCAAGATGGCTTTCATTTTCTCGACTCTTTTGCTGATGCAAAATTAAGTCCAAAGGGGCCGTAACACTTTTGTTGGAAACACACAAAAAGACAATGTAGACTATTGACAAAATGTGCAAAATATAATTGCAAATGTATGAATTAAAAAAAAAGGGAGGCGGGCGGGAAAGGGAAGCGGGTGGGGACGAGAAACTGGTTTATCTTTTTTACATGGCCTCATCGCTGGAGCACACAAGCATGCAAAAGACACGTGGTAGTCATCAAGAATACCAACAAAGGTGCAATTTGAAAGGAATTAATCGTTTTTTAACATCGATACCCCGGCAAGTATTTCAGGTAATCGAAAGCTTGACTGACCAGAACATCTTCCGATGGTACCAAACGGAATGTTTAATCACGCGGGACCCCGGACCTGCACATACCTGGAGCGGCGTGTATGAGCGGCGTTATTAGACATTCTTTGCGTTGTCAAAGGCACCGCCACGCATAAGACTGGTGTTATATAGACCTTGTGCTCGAGGTGGCCATTTTTGTCGAGTTCCCTGAATGTATAGGTTTTCCCGGCCAATTTCCTAAAGTGTTCATTCAGTTCTGAAAATCAGTCATTCATTTTCGACTGAATTTGAGAATCGTTTTGATCACGCGTTTCATTTTCGCTATCAGAGCATTCGATTCCATTTCAGTTCATTCAGTTATTAAAGTGATTAACCAGCACCTTTCGCTTATTTTCAATCAGATTCGTTTACAAGACTTCTTTTTCGCTCAGGGCGAATTCAAACATGCACCATTCTATTTCACTTTTAGTTTAATGCCATCGGCACCAGACACAATTAGGGGTTTCTTTTTAATTAATCGTCAATCAAATTTAATAGCTGTAGGCCTACCGCCTGAAATCAATTTAGACAAGGTATGCTTAATATTGCGTAAATGAATGCACTTGAAACGTCATTGGTCGTTTTAGCTGTTTTTCAAATCCGCATGCACGGACAAAGAAAACGATTGAACTTTGGTTGGAATTGGAATGGGATTAAAGACGTGCATTCATATTCAGAAGAAAACGAATGACCAGTTTTCAGAAGTGAATAACATTTCAAGAAATTGGCCAGGAAAACCTATATTAACTGCTGAATGGTATGGCGCCACAAAGGGTAAAGGCACAAGTGAGATTTCCGTTTTTAGCAAGGGACGGACATATTTGATACATTTCAGACGAGCGCGCAAACATGCGTGCCCCGCAGTTCTCTGAAGTGAGGTTTTTATTTTGTGCACAAAATGAACCTGGCAGAACCTTATTGCGTGGCAGTCAATAATACGAACTTTGTGAGGAGATAGTCCAACAACTAAACATCGGTGTTTTTTTTTAATTCAATGTAGTGAATAACTTTTACATGGCGAGGAAATGGGAATGCATCGACCGATTCGAGTCTGAAAAATTCACTTTCATTGAATGGATCTGCATTTTTATTTCGACAGACTGATTCCCCCCCCCATGAAAATAGTTTTAGGGGTAGCTTATATAATCTTTATCTACAAACAAGAGGAGGAACATTGACCGTTTGAACCCCTAAAACACCTTCGTGTTAATTTACAAAGGGTCAATGACCTGATATTAAGGCCGTTGACGCATGTTGCGTTTTCTGGACTAAACCGGAGTTAATTGTGGGATTTGGTTCGACTCAGCCGGCCATAAATTCGATTATTTTGCAGAAACGATCCCAAGCCCTTCTCAGAAACCCTCCCGGGAGGATTTGTGTGTTTAACGACGGTGCGAGCTCCAAAGGTTAACATAGCTTTTAGTCCCAACAATGAAATAACAAAAAAAAATGAACGAGATCGATATTGTAGTTTTTGATTGGTCGCTGTGCATGCTACGAAGGAATCATGTTCAATATGCCCGAGCATAAAGTAAATTATAATTAAATTATTAAAATTATTACCTTATCTTTGAAAAGCTCTCCAGAAAATACATGTTAAATTGGTTACACACAAAATCCTATTCCATTCTTAAAATGTTTTTGAAACATTAATCGTTTGCACGTTGATTTTGAGTTAACTCCCAATTTCTGATAGCTATTTAATTCACTCTTCTAACAATATATTGATGGAAACAAATTGTCGTTTGATTACAGTGTATATTTTTCCCACCAACTTCGGGAAACATTCAATCAACATTGGGCAAGAAGCTGATTAACAATGGCCATTTGTATGGTGTCTCGTTAAATAGGTACCTTGTTTTTAACGAAAAACATCTGCACACGTTTTCAACGCGCGGACATAAATAATCTATCAACTCGTTAATATCAGACAAGAACGCGCCGAAAGCAAAAACTCACCAAGCCCATTTGCGACGATTTCCAATGTTGTTATAGTATGCAACATTGAGCGAGATTTCCTTTAAAGGGCCATGTTATGTAATTTTTTATGTGGTTCTTGGGAATGCCCCTTTGTATCCCAGGCTTGTTTTCAATTTATTTTCATTTTGCCATTTTAAGGGCATTTTGGTGCCTTTTTGGTTTTCTGCTAATGCGAATTTTCATATCCATGTGCAGAAGTGTGATGTCATTTCAGGCAGACAACTCAATGTTGCAGCTATTTCAGCACAAACGTTTGCCAGAATTTTGAATATCTTGCTGTCGTAAATTTTCTTTTCTTTAGCGATTCGTTGTTTCAGTACACGACAGTAGGCCAATGAGCAAAGGTTTCTCACAAAATGTTTTCAATCAGCACATTTTGAGTTCACAATTTGAACAGAAAACCCCTCAACTGCATATGAACAGTGTCTAGCTGAAATGACATCACAGAAACAGCGCCCCATTTGTCCGCAAAAACATGGGAATTTTTAAATGTTAAAGAAGCGGTCTTTTCAATCAAGATTAACCAAAAAGGGATGTCAATTTGTTTTCATACATTTAAGAGTAGAAAGTTGCACAAATTATGTTCCCAATTAAAATTCATGTCATGAACCCTTTAATACGGCGGTGTGTGCTTAAGGTTATAACGGTATATCACAGTCCAGACGGCTGTGAATATTTTATCCTCCGCCGTGAGACAGAGAAGTCGTCACCGGGGTGCAGTGGCTGTTCGCACGGCGACTTGGCTCGCGCTGACAAGCTTCTCTCGGAGTGTGGCTCCGGGGTATACCAAAGAGTGTCTCTCACCCAGATGAAATTTTCATGATGAAAATTGGAAACGGGCGATCATAATCGTGGAGCTGTCACATCGCTTCAAGCCTTCGAAGCATGCATATACATAAAATGTCTTTTTACAGGCTTTAAGTTTCGAGTATGTATAGGTATATACGAAGTCAGGGTATAAGCGTTCAATCAAGCCCACGCAGTGGAAAACAAGTTAGGCTTCACTATCTTAGATTTCCGATAAATTGTCATGATCTTATTATTGCAATTTCGCCGTCAGGTAATATATATATATTTTTAAAGGATATGGCTTGCGAAACTGTGAGCTCTTCAATTGGATTTTGGGAGACTAACCAAGTTATGTGATTTGTTTATAGGATTTCAAGATTTCTGGAGGAAAAGGATAACTCCTTAATTTTTGAAAAGAATCACCTATCCTTAATGATTAAGGTTTGTCATTAAAGGGAATTAGGTTAACTCGGTGATGCCATTCTTTCGTACTTTCTAATACCACAAGGCAAGCAGTAACACTGTCTCGCTTTCAAAAAGAAAGACCATGAATTGTAATTGAACTTGACAATTTGATTTCTATTTCAAGATCAAGTTCTACTTTTTGTTTTTCGTACCCGTCAGAACAATAGAGTAGATCTTATTAGATGGCGGCATGATGATCACGAGAAACCAAAGCACATGGGAGTTCAGGTTTACATACAGGGTGAGTCAAAAAGAAAGTTACCTAATTTGAAAAATATTTAAAACAATATTTGGCTGGCTCCATTTCTCACCAAAAACAAAGGGATAAAGTACATCTTATTAACTTTTCACTGTGAAAATTTCACGTAATTTGCATACTCCATTCCCAAGTTATGTCTATTTCAGTAAAAAAGATCACAAAACTCGGCTGTCTACCACTGATCGGTTATCCTTTCTACGAATCTGTAATATTCATTTAGCTCAGTAACTTCTAATGGCATTCCATGGACAGCTGCAAAAATTACTTCCTTTAGTCAAACGTTCATAACTCCTGATAGCTTGGATCAATTTCAGTAATTCCTTTTTTGAGACGAGTGGAAGAAGATGCTCTTTTCAGATACTTTATTGGTGTTTCAAATGTTTAAGATGAAAAAAAAATTCATTAATATTGGTAACTTTCTTTTTGACTCACCCTGAATATAACTGTATGTGCATTAACACAGACAAAATCCAAGACATTTTAAAGACATGTGAACCCATATACATGGTCAGCCAAAGAAACAGCCGGACATACATGCCGATGATATTTTAACTTGGCAGTTAAAAAAAAAAGCCACTGAAATGACAATTCATGCTTCCTTTTTGCAACAAATTAAAAAGAAACCCTACCTCTTGAGTCTTGACAGTCGTCAGCAAGGCTGTTATATGTTTCCTCGCTTCCTAATCAACAAGCTCAACATTAATGTCGTATCGTCCACACTCCTCAATTCATGTACACTTGTATCGGGGCCAATTTCGGCAGCAGTCAACATGGAGTCTCAAGGACCTCATTAACAGCCCGCCAAAATTGCAGCATGGCGTCTGACGAAACGTGGCCCCGGAACATGGATGTCAACCCCTGCCGTCCCTGAAGAGACAGAGAAAAAAAATGATTAAGATGAATACGCACATTGTGGCAAACAGGTCGGGTCGTAAATTTTGCTCGAAGGGGACCCTGATTTCATAATTGAAACGTAAATTATCTGAAATTCTTCGAAGCTTCCTGTACCAAAAAATAACCTAAAGTGTTTTGGGAAAACAAGATTTGTCATGACAGCTGTCGCTTCCAATATACAATGTTATTGAAGCGTTTTCCGTGATTAAGAATCCAACGTCACTTTTCGGAGTGGTACAGATATCACGAAATTGATTTAAAGTTTCATGTCAGTTTCCCGTGATGTATAAGGCCAGGGAAAGTATATTCACCGATAAATCATTTCTGCCCTCCCCACACAGATGGGGAGTGCGGATGTCAGTTCATTTTCGTCTAAAGCCCGGTTCATACTTCATGCGAATGCGAATGCGAAGCGAATTTGACGTCATGAAACATTCGCTGCGAAATTCGCCCGAGTTGAAATGTGTTCAACTTTTGCTAATTCGCAGCCCGAATACTTGCCATGACGTCACAGATTCGCGTTCGCTTTCGCATGAAGTATGAACCGGGCTTAATAGGTGAAGCGCGAAATCACATTAAAAGTTGCGTTCCGCGTGCTCTTCAACAAATTCGATTTTTTTTTTGATTAATAAATTTTCAACCTGTATGTTTAATTCTAACCAAAAAAACTTCTTTCGCCTTTTTTGGACGTCTGTGAACCTGTGGAAATTTATTTTCGTTTTGTTTTGGGCATAAACAGATCCGCTTTGCGAGCAGACTGGCTCACGGTACGCACATTACCAATACTGATTGTGGGGCGGGAACCCCGCAAGAAAGGACAGTATTATCTGGCAGCCAATAATTCGAAATTGTAAAGTGATAAACATGGACCGATTTTTTTTACGGTCGATATCTCTTTCAAAAGCGAGTAGCCTTTCTTTTGCTAGAAAAATAGCAATTTGTAAAAGGAATCTTTTTTGGGGGGTGGGGATAAAATTCGAAAATAGCAAAATGTACAAGACAATAGGTTACCATGCGCATATGCATCCATGATTATCGTAATGGCAAGTAGTCGCGGCCTAACACCAAACATTTTAAAGTACAGGGTGAGTAAAAAGAAAAGAAAAAGAAACCCAAATGGCAGGACCATTTTCTTGATAAGTTCTGCATGTAGCACTTTCAAAATATGAAAGCCCATTAATAAGCTTTCTTTTAGTACCAGAACCATTCAAATCACTCACATACTTTTCAAGTTATGGAATTTTGAACACAGCCAACGTTTTAAAGTTCTGTCCACGGATCACAAAAAAGATGTGCGTTCTTTCAGCAAAACAAAAACAATTCACACACATTCCTATGTGAATTGTTTTCGTTTTGCAGACAGAACACTTACCTTGTGTGTGATCCGTGGACAGAACTTTAAAACGGTGGTTGTGTTTAAAATTCCGTAACGTAAAAAGTACACGAGTGATTTGAATGATTCTTGTACTAAAAGAAAGCTTATTAATTGGGCTTTTATATCCTAGATTTTGATTGTGCTACGTGCAAAACCTCATTAAAAAAATGGTCTATATCAGTTAGGCCAAAAAAAGTCTCCGGTTTCTGGTATGCGCGCGCGTCGCCGTAGCCATGCGCGTCGGCAAAATGAAAAAGGTTTTTTTTCAATGAAAGATGATGTCTCAAAACCGCCAAACTCACTGGTTTGACTGGAATTCTGCTGCTGCGCAATTTCAACGTGTTTTTAGATGGGGTTATGAACAAGAATAAGCTTTATGTGGCCTCTCTGGACTCCCATATATTTGCACTAAGTTTAGTCGGGCACCATTTGCAGTCATCAGCCGACATTTGAAGCAAAAAATCGGGTAAAAAAAAAAAAAGCCGCGTCGCCGCACCACTTTTTGGACAAGCTCCATACCAGAAACCGGAGACTTTTTTTTTTGGCCTTAGGTTTCACTTTTTTTTTTACTCCCCCTGTACTGCACAGCCCATTGCTCAAAGACTATAACAATGTAATAAGCAGCAAATGATTCCAGCTGGATACTGATCAAACTTGAATATCACAATTTCAAATATGGAAAGGGTTGGCACCATAGAGAATGCCATCGAGCACTACATTAGGCTTTCCTTTAGAGTGAATGGACTGCGGAAATCAGGATTTGAATAATGTAATCCTGAGGTGATTCTTACAGACCTGATGCGTATAGCCATCTTAGAGGGCACCTTTTGTTATTGTAATTCTTAACAATGAATGCACAAACGGTTCACTCATGCATGTCCCAGCAAAAACAAAGGCATTGCCCTCTGAGATGGCTGCTACGCAAAAGCTCTATTACACGGTAAAGCAATGCACATTCGTGTTCTAAGATTTCCAGATTTAAGAAAATTGGTATTTTATTTCTTTCTGGTAATGAAACCAAGGTTTCCTCAAAAGTGCCCTAGGCACTGTAGCTCGAAAGCCCGAAGAAACCTGTGGAGAGAGGACAATGAGAAGAATGTACAGTTTTAGAGGTGGGAGGAAAAGCCCAGAGGATTATTCTGAGGAAAACCCACGGAATCAGGTAGGGACTGAAAACCCAATCCACATATTGGCCCTGGCGGGATTCGAACCCGGGTCACAGCGGTGGAAGGCGAGGAAAGTACCGCTACGCCAACCTGAATTACTAAATGATTTAAGCTAAAACATTCTCAATTTTACACCAAACTATACCTATTACTATGAAGTAAGTGATGGTCCTCATACAGTCGAGTTGATGTCGATTAGGCTATGTTGGCTATTAGGTTATTCAGTGTGTTCCTGATAAACCGCTAAAACGGAAACCGTTCCAAAGGTTGAAACACGATCCATTTATTTGCGAGCCCGCTAGCCTAGTTCAACGGCTACATTACGTTACTCTGTCGGCACGTTGACACACAACACGCTGAAGTGACCCAGACACATGCATTACAAACGTGTAGCAGAGACACTTTAGGCAAGTCGAGTCTGGTTCCCGTCGGCGCCGGTAATAGTGAGCGACAAATTTGTCGTCTGGCGACCAAGTTGAGAGTTTGTCAATTACATGTACTACCTGAAGCTGCTACGGGACATTAACGGAACACAGGAAATGTTTGCTAAGGTTGCAGACCAGTACATACTGCAATAGACCCCAGTGATACGAAATTCAGGAAAAATACTCACAACTCGCCAATGTGTTTGAGACACACATCAAATTAAAGCTTATTTCATCAACTTTCATTTTCTGTTGATTTTTTTTTCTTGGGGCTAACCAATGACTTGTTGGGGGAAAATTCCATCCAAATAAAGTCACCCCTATAAAAGTAGTTCTGTAGCCCATCGACATTTTGAAAATAAACTGATGCTTGCGCTCCATTGCAAAATAGAGCAAATATTACAGGGCCCAATTTTATCAGAATTTCACAGAAATGCGAACTTGCAGTCCTGTGCATGGCTTCCACCCTTCTGTTTTTACAAGACCTCAATTTCATGGCCCACAAAATAATGGCGCCCCGTATTTTGTAACGAAGTTCTGGATGTAGCGCTTTCCAGATCTAGGATGTGAAAGCCCAATTAATATGCTTTCTTTAAGTACAAGAGTCATTCAAATCACTCGTGTACTTTTTGAGTTTTGGAACTTTGAACACAAACACAGTTTTAAAAATTTTGTCAACGATCGCACTAAGGTACTGATTTCAGTCAAATGAAACCATGTCGTATCATGAAAACGATCGCATTTAAGGTACTGATTTCAGTCAATGAAACCATGTCGTATCATGAAAACGATATCAGAATAATCCAATAATTCTTCGGTTAGCCAAGTAGAAGGCAGGGCAATTAAAGACTATACAAACTCCTGACAATATCAAGCATGTTGTTTGAACATTGGAAGCAGAAGGCGTTTACATAAAGGTTATGATATAATAAAGTGCCAGTTATAATGGTTATGAGAGGGTTCTGATGGGTTTTTTTTTATATGTGAATTGTTTTCGTTTTGTTGAAATATCACTTACCTTTATTGTGATCCGTGCGATATGAACAATTCTTTTACTAAATAAAGCTTATAAATTGGGCTTTGACATCCTAGATTTTGAACGCGCTACATGCAGAACTTCTTTGAAAATAGGGGGCGCCATTTTCCCTTTTTTTTTTTATTACTCACCCTGTAATATGCGTACGTTTGCTTAGTGATATTGTCTGATTGGACACTCGAAGAGATGTGGTCTTGATGGCAACTCAACAAGCAGCTCGATGTTAGGATGGCAGTAACTGAAGACGGGCATTGTTACAGAATATTGACTGCATAATTTAAAACGGCGATAACGGCCTTCAACGACGCACCGCGAAGTACCCGGTTTCGCTACCTCCTTGCCAGGGGAACAAGGAAGCATTAATTCTAGAACACATGCAGTACAATGTGAACCACTTCACATGCATCACATTTCCCCACAAGGGCCGAGCGCTGAAAACCCATGCGCTACAAGGCGTCACAATGGCGAGGCTAATGTCAACTTGTTCAAAGACTGGTCCCTTTGTGCCAGACTTGGCAATTGTACGGCACGAAATGACATTTGACGAAATAAATAGGCTTTTAAGAAGGGCGGCTCGTGGGCTGCGCGAATTGCGAAGATCGAGTAGTTAATGTGATAATGCTTTCGGCAGTAGAAAGAACAAGAATCTATATAGTGCTGTATGGTACTACGTGTCAAAAAAACCCAAACATGTTCTTCTTTTGATCCTAAATAACTATGTTGTTTACCAATGGAATTGAACCACAATTTTATATCATGCAAACAAGACATGACACATTTTATGGAGCGAGTTTCATCAGCTTTGTGCAAGAGGGTGAGATTTTAAACGCCATTCGACAAGAATATTCACTTTCAGAAGCTGCCACTTTCAACTTGGCGTCCTCCAATGTCGATATGCAGCGCTGGAGACGGCGGCGGAAGGTGCGCGCTGTGGCCGAAAGCATCTGAAGGAATGCTGGATCACCCCTGATGTCATTGCACACCTCCTCGATCGTTCCGCGAAACACATCAAGAGTTGCAAAGGGACGCCTGATCAGCACGCGCCTTCCGCCACCGTCTCCAGTGCTGTATCGATATTGGAGGACGCCAAGTCGAAAGTGGCAGATTCTGAAAGTGATATTTAAGTCTCACCCTCTTGCACAAAGCTGATGAAACTCCCCCCATAAAATGTGTCATGCCTTGTTTAATACATGATCTGACACTTTGGTTTAATTCCATTGGTAAACATCAGAGTCATTTGGGATCAACAGTAGGAAGTTTTTTTAGTAAAAGTCACAAGGCAAGTGAACAATTGATTTGCCGGTGTGTTTTAGCTCTCTATATCCAAATTGTATTCGTTTGAAGTCTTTCATTCACGACAACGCGAATCAGATGTATAACAGTGGTGACATCATGCCCAAAATCATACCTAGCATAAGACAGGGGAGTTGAATGACGCGGCTTAAAAATCCATCATTTCGTGTTTACCCAATAATTTGAGATACTCGCTTTGGAAAATCACCTGGCTCACCAAAAATTGTGGGCTTCCTCAACGGATTCTTATGAAAAGCATTTAACATTCGTCGAACATAATACAGGGTGGATAAAAAAACCCCGAGATATTATTGCTAATTGGAACAGAAGAAGGTTACATGTGAATCAAAGGGAGATATCCTCTGTTAGGATTTAATCTCCTCTTTAAAATGACTCCCAGATCATGTCCTTACATTCACGGTTGACTGAGCAGTGACCAATTTTATGAAAGGGTCTATTAAGAGACTTGCGCCACTTTTCATGGCGAAATCTCTTTTTTTCCTCCCCTGGCTTGATTGGCAACCATAGCCTTTGACTCTGTGACAAAAGACACAACAAAAACCACAATTGAAAAGTGGAGCAACTCTCTAAATAGACCCTTTCATAAAATTGGTCCTGCTCATTCAACCATGAATGTAATGACATGGCCAGGGTGTCATTTTAAAAAGGAGATTCAACCCTAACAGAGGATACTTCCCTTTGATTCACATGTGCCCTACTTCTGTTCCAATTAGCAATAATATCTCGGTTTCGTTTTTTTTTAAATCCACCCTGTATATCCATTCCACGGACCACTGACTTAGGCTTACTATCGGCACGTGAACTTGCAGACAGTTTCGGATCCCTTTTCCGATAAGATAGTTCAATGGTTGCCTTGATCGATGATGGCCTTCATTGAAACAAAAACTGAAGAATCATCGGTGACCACACTCTTCAAGACAACAGCAACTTACTTCTGAAGTGCGGTGAATCCGCGTACAACGACAAACCAAGCGAGAATCACTGATGTGATGTCGATGACCGTCTTGCGACAAGAAATTTGCCGAGAGGTAAATGAAAAAGGGCAGGAACGGACATCCATGTGTTCGATCGCTTCACTTTACAGCGGCAGAGGAGCCGGGAAGAAAAAAAAAATCAAAACTAGCCGATGATCACTTACCTTCTCATTCATCGCGACCTCCAGGGTACATCTCCGGCAGAGAGAGAGGGCAAAAAGATCAGATGCTATATAACGTCTTGAATGATGTCGATGGGATGAAGACAAGAGACGGCGACTAGGAGCATTTTTTTCTCCGTTGCCGTCTTGCCGGCGCGCGCATGCAATTGCATGATCCGTCCCAGGGGACGTCTGTTGAACCGGCTCTGGGTATTACTCATACCGCGTCACGACACACGACTTAATCTTCGCGCATTTCCAACGAAAACAAATCGCCTTGAATTGAGACTTTCGACCACAAAATAACAACTGATTATCCTGGCTGATGCGTCAGATTTGTCGTAAAACAAAGACTCAGACATTTTTCAATACATCATGTCTGATGCATATCGCCCTGAACAAGGCTATAGAGCCTTAGAGCCAACTATATAGATTATAGGTTAGAGGAAAACAAGAACAATTTTTTTTGAATCATCAAACTTCTTTTAAAAAGAAAGTCATAGTTGCCTTTCTACGAATGAAAAAAGTTTATACCTGGCCTTGAAAGTTAATATACAAAGACGAACAAAGACGATTAAGGTACCAATCAGCGAATGAGAAGATTTGTAGAAATAGTTTGGTAGAAATATCTGACATTTTTTTAAGACAAACCTTTTTTTAGGAGTCTTTTTGGTGAAGCACTCTCCCGAATCTGCAACTATCACACGGAAGCATAACATAAAATCGATGACTTCCAGGCCGAAGTCTCAAGACCAAGGAAAACTCCAGTCATCTTTGCCGTGGAAAGGACGGCAGCTCCCAGCACGAGATCGTCTTTAAAGATGGTACGTAGTCTGAGAGAATTTTCAGTAGTGAGTACTTTTTCTCTCTTGCTTAAAGCTCGAGTGAATCTGTGTAGCTAGCTGTCACTGATCGGCTGTATTAGAGAGAAAAGAGGCCAGAGAATGAAACACGTGCACGCAGGCTGCTCGACTAATACTCCGTGTCCTCAGCTTGCTGCGGCTAGGCTGCGTGTCTCCGCGTAAACATTCCGAGCATCCGTTCATCAATCAACGCCGAAGTACATGTGCAGTTTTGCGCAGGAATCGGCGAGGAATGCATAATTATAATCATTGCAGTATGTAAATGAGTCCTTGAACACGAGGGGGCGCCATATAGCCCCGGCTTTTGGGGGTTTACGAATCCTTGGCTTCGTCTCCGATTCGGATTCGCGCTCCAGCTCCATGGTTTTAATCCCCAGGCTGACTTAAGCTTGACAGACCATTAGAATGCGCCGTAGAAGTACGCGTGACGTCACGCGGAGTCGTCTCCACGGCGACCGTTACACACTTGACTGAGGTCTCGTCCTCCATTTTTACTGTGAATTTTTTTCATGGTTGGGATTTCTCAGACATTACAAATTGAAACGAAGACGGCCTTAAACCCAATCTCTGCACGCGGAGGCCGTACGAGCCCCTCTCATCAGAACATGGGGTCTACCCGATGTTCCCCAATACCTATGTTCCCCAAAATCCTTAGGATTAGATTTAGGATTAGGGTTAGGATTAGGGTTATAGAGTAAGGATTTCGGGGAACATCGGTATTGGGGAACATAAGTATATGCACCCAACATGGGGTCTACCCGATGTTCCCCATAATATCCGTGTATAGCAAGCGTTGCCAAGTAGTTGCCATTTTAGTTGCGAGAATGTTCCAACATCTGGAGAAACTATTCTATCGTGCTCGGCCTGCCAAAGAAAACCGAACCTATTATTGTTTCGATAAATGGAAGAAAGTTCGTTGACCGTCTCGATTCAAACATCGATCCCGGGTCCGCGTCTGTGGCCAAGTTTGGCAGGCAGCCAAGAATGTGTCAACTACACATTTTTGCGCCGATGTAGCAGCGTATATGCAGGTGGTGGATTAATTGGCCGGGGGGGGGGGGGGGAGGGTGTTAGCCTTGTTTTCTATCATTTAGTAGAATCATATTTTATCATTCTGTTTCCTATTGTTGAATACAAACATATTTTTATCAATCTGACGTGCCCACGGTAAGCAGCGGCCTCTGAGATACCAAAGGTCTCGACAGCAATACATTTTGGGCGGCTTTTGTTTAATCACCTCCACTCATCCAAGCCAGCCAAGGGCAAACTCGAAAGACGCCCGAAAAAAACTAAAACAGGTGCCTGTTCCCGGCCATTGAACCTTTGTTATACACAAGTGATCCCTGATTTCAGGTGCCGGCTGGGTCCATAGCGCCCTCAACGTCCTTGCTTGCCAAACATAAATCAAGTGTATGTACAATTTATTTTTAAAAAAAGGATTACATTTGTAAAGGTAAAAAAGGTAAGGTAAAGGTACCCATAGCCATTTATTGGCCGTAGGGGCAGTGGGATGTTAGAGGTCCACTGTGTCTTGGGCGCGGCATAATGAGTGGCGGTGCCCAGTCCTCTCCTCTTGCCGTCTTACATTTGTATATTACATAATGCCTCTATTTTTCGTACAAAAAAAAAAGATAAAGACGTGGGGTAATTATTTGGGCAGCGAAGTTTTGTGGAAAAAGGATTTTACCTCATTGATCATGGCCGCAGAGGGACACCAGTAATTTGTAAAGTACGTTGTATAAGCAACGCCAAAAAATGACACAGTAATCCAAAATGACCGCCGCAAGAGAGAAGTATTAGATTCATAATCACATAGGAAACGAATACGGATAAAATCTAATCGTAGTGGATTTGGCACTCTCTGAAGTTTCACCATTTTGTCGCCCGGGGAAGCGCGTGGTACCCCGCGACAGGTGATTCGACAGGTGGAAGAGACTGACCTAAGCCACACACTAGATTTAAACATTAAAGAAACTTGAACAAAAGACAAAAACAGAAACAAACTGATTTCGTCAAGTTGCTCAGCTCAGCGGAACTATGTTGCTGTGGTAAGCAAAAACCAGATTGATCCCAGCCGGATACATGAGATGTACGTCGCGTGAAGATTGTGTGGGTGGGTGGGTGGGTAGTCAGTAATGTTAATAGTTTTTGTGAAATTACTTAATAACAGCACATGGATGTAAATATTGCAAAAGAAAAAGATTTATTTACATGTTTTCGTACTGATCCTCAAAACAGTATATCAATAAATATTTCACTTAGTTAATCAACAGAAATGAAAGTAACTAACAACGTTTAAACCGTTACTGGTATCTCTGTTGTAATAACCGACCGATTAATTAAGCCCCGCCCCCATACAACACGCGTGGGCCATAGATACAGAATAAATTTACTTCTGTATCTATGATGTGGACAACAACACGTGCGCCATTCCAATGCCCCATCGCGCGCGCGCGTCATACGTAAATGCGCGCATATACGTCTCGCGATCACGTCTGTGATTGGTCAATACATCACTGGGCGGGGCTTGGTGGATGGTTTTCTTTTGACGACTGGAAACTTTAGCTAATGAAAGGTTGTGCAAGCTACTCTGGAAAGAACACCGAGACCAAAATTGCAGATCCGATGACATAAATACATTTACATAAAAATAACAATCAAAGACCAAAGACTTCGCAAAAACCAAAATTGAAAGAAAATGGCTTAGTTGGGGCGAAGATTCAGTGTATTTTGTAACATGTCAAAACAATGGCTAAAGCTAGCAATAATTCCGCATGACGGACTTTTTTGGATTGTCACAAAATCTTTGAAGATTTTCAAACTAACAGCCAAGTTGATGCTCTCAGTGTTACGCCATTGTATAAAAAATATGTAATTCAGATTTTCTTTAAATCCTCACCGAAAAGGAAAGCTCAATTAATTCAGACCTTCGGTTTGAATCTGAATCTTTCCTTGTGAAAAAAAATCCTCCGGTCCTTGACGCTTCATCTGCAGTGTCTTTCTACAACAAGCCAAACTCAACTTCATTCTCTTCGTAACAGATTCTCGCAAACCTGTGAATACCTTCACTATTGAGTGCACACCTACCATCGTTAGTTCTTTACGATACTGGTGATTTTTTTGCACAAAGAAAGAAAGAATTGCAACTTAGTGTGAGACTAATTTAGACAGAATATAATACATGTATCTACATAACATATAACTTAACGGGTGGTTCGAATTGAAATTATTTTTCAAAGTACTTACACTTTCCATAGTCATAACAAGCACATACATACATATACATGTGGTTTTAATAATATCTCTTCAAGAAATTATTTATAAAAAAAGTTTCAATTTGTAATCGTCACAGTATTCTATGTACAGGCATTCATTAGTATTTTCAGTTGAGAATTGATCAATCATAACTTGTGTTAATAAGCTGGACAAAAATAAGTTGACAAAATATAGGAATAGGAGGGTACACACGGGCAGGGTCGGATTCAAAACACATTGCTAAAGTATTGCAACGAAAGATTTGGACTTTGGGATTTGGACTGTTGGGATGTTTGTCATTTTACCAAAACAATACAAATAACAGCGACATAGAGTGAGAGTAGAGAAAGAAAACAATATTTCATTTGGGAGTCAGGTTGGTACAGCGGTTACTTTCCTCGCCTTCCACCAATGTGACATGGGTTCGATTCCTGCCCTGGTCCACATGTGGATTGGGTTTTCAGTCCCTACCTGATTCCGTGGGTTTTCCTCAGAATATTCTTCTGGGGTTTTCTCCCACCTCTAAAACTGTAATTTCTCCTCATTGTCTCTCTCTACAGGTTTCTTCAGGCTTGCGAGCTACAGTGCCTACGACGCTTTTGAGGAATCCTTGGTTTCATCACCAGAAGTAAATAAATAATATTATTAATCAACGACATAATGAAGCTGGTAAGAAAGTTCTGGGTATGGAACACTTAAGTCCTAGCTTTTCCTAGCTTGATTCCTAGAAACTTTTTAGATTTCTCAAAAGTTCTTGACAGCGAAAAGGCACGCTACAATTCATTTGCTCTGAATGCATGTTTTGAAAATACAAAACAAAAACTCCCAAAGTCACTGATTTCATCAGTGGCACTTTGAAAGTTATGCTCGCCTATAGCACTATTGATTAATGCCTCAATATTACTGTCTAGAATAGCCTAACATAAAACTTTGGTTTCTTGAAAAAAGAAAGAAAATGTGGCACGTAGCCCTTATGCGTTGCAGGTGTCTCAGAAGGTGTGATTTGTTATTTTAGTTTTAGTATAAAAAAGAATGCATAAAATTTACGCATGCCTATCCTAGTGATACAAAACAACTGCCCTCTAACTCCGCCTTAACGCATATCTATAGTTTCCATATATCTGCATGACAATAAATTAGGCCTGACGGCATTAGTGCGCAATACAAATTAAGGCAGTTTAATTGGGCTGAGACAAATTTTCCACTTTTTTTTGAAAGACTGGTGCGAAGAAGATGAAGAAGATGCAACTACACCAGAAACAACGGATTTAGAAGAAATCAGTTGTCGTACCAAAATCAAATAAGTTATAAAAAGGAAAGAGACCCTGTATTTTAGTACTGTGGTCTATCTGATCTTGTCCATTCAGCCCAACATGTGTGGTATAAGGCAGTGCATATCGTTAATGTGAAGCATAGGAATACGTACATTTTAACACTTATTATAGCTTAAAGTCAGCCGATTTTTACCCAAAACTTGACCATCTTGCTTTTATGTACACACCGTAAGGCGTACAAGTGTCGTGCCGAACACTTGATTCTGAAGTTGAGATGAAATTTCGTTTTGCTTCAAAAGGGTACACAGCAACAGACCATGTTTATTTCACACAAGCTCCCAACGTGCTGTACAAGAGCCATTATTACCCCTGCTCATTAGTCCCATGAAACATTCCAAAGACCATCTCAGCTCTCTGGGGAGTATACAGCTCCATGCTGCCGTTTTGGCGCAAAGCATCTAGAATCAATTACAACCACCATCTCTGCCCTCACAGGTACCCATTTACTTCTGGGTGGGGAGAAGCAATGATTGACAAAGTGCCTTGCCCAAGGACACACGCACCATGACCCCAGGGTGGACTCGAACCCACAACCTGCAGAATTAAATACCTGCAGACCACAAATTTAAAGCACTATAGTGACTAAAGGGTTTAATCTCTGTGAAAACAAAACGTTGACCAAGTACACTCTATGTGTCCCAAATTACTGCAGTAATTGTGTGCGGGAGGTTCCGCAGAGGTCAGAGGGCAAGGGTCAGACAGCAGTGCCCGGCCAGGACACGACAGTCAGTTGCACCTTCCCCGGCATGGCTTTCAGGATGGAGACCGCCCTCGTGTGGTTGATGTTGAGCAGTGACTCGTTGTTCACCTTCAGTAACTGATCCCCACACCTGGGATATAAAAAAATATCAAAAACAAGAATTGGTACACATGGCTCCTTCAAGCTATTTCAACTTATAGGAATACCGAAATGCGCATGCACCTCGTCTTTAAGAACCTGTGCAGCATGCGCGTGAGCATGACACCACCGCAGTAAAAGCTTCTAATTTTGGTCGGCGGATTCCACTTTAGGCCCCTCTCATACGACGCCATCTTCGTAGGAAAACTACAACTGCGGGTTCCACGCCATTAGGTACGTGTGCGCGCAGTGTGCAAAATGTTCTAAACGCAGGCATGTTGCTTTTACTTTGAACGATGTTTGTCACGAAAATACCGATGCACGTGACAATCTGCAGGCAGTGATGTCATTTGAGAGAGACCTATAGACCATTATCATGTTACGGCCATTTTAATTTTTTCTCATTCAAATCAACGTAACCAAAGCAAGGCTGGAAGGAAAATAGTCTGGTTTCTTTTTTCCACAAAAACATAATAATTCAGTACTGTTATTGGATACAGGGAGCATGACTGAAATGGTGGCAGCATGAAAAAAGACCTATTGCACTTTTTTTCACTGACTCAAAGGCTGTTTCCATTTCAGAAAGGCAGGTGACAGAAAAATATAACTCTTGACATACTTGAGCTGCCCGCTGCGTCCGGCCGCGCCGTTGGGGACTAGCGTCTTGACGAAGATTGGTTGGTTGCCATGGGTACAGTCACAGCCCCCGACGACGCTGAAACCGAGGCTGGGAGAGGATTCCTTATCCAGGATGACTTTGCTTTGGATTTGACAAAATCTTGAGAAAGAAAAAGAGACAAAAATCTTGACTATAACTCTACTCTAACACAATGCCCAACAGACAACCAATCAGAATCCACCAACACAAGCATTCCCCATCTTAACACAGCCTACTTAAGGAGCAGCATCTCCAACTCTCTTCAGTCTCCTGACGATGACTAGAGCAGGCTAGTCGAAACGTTGAGACCAAAGACAAGTTCTTTTAGAACTTAAAGCAGGACTGTTCTTATCAGAACAAAACTACTTAGCAAAGTTGATAATAAGCAGGACAAGTTCTTTTCAGAACTAAATATCTTCTAAGCAGTAGTTATTACCACATGGTGTTACCACAAACCGAAACGATGCCGATACTCCACCATGCAAAGCCTCAAATCTTAAATCTCGACTAGAGTTCCACGTCATGAACAGTAGAAATTCACTGTAATGATTATTGCAACACAATATGGGCTCCGTGCACAAGTACGCCCTCACTGGTAAGAAAGGGAGAGTTTGTGGAGACCACCGCAAGAGACTTTTGCTTTATATTGTGTTCTTTACTGTTTATTAACTTTGTATATTAACTTTGGGTGTTATTGTATGTCACGTGGACATCATGAGTAAGATGTTTTTCTGTAAAAAACAGAAAGATATGCCGACACCTGATGCTCATGCAAAGATGCTATGGGCCTTATTCACAAGTTGGCCATTTTTGTCGAGTTCCCTGAATGTATTTCATTAATTGATAACTGTTGCATGGGATGGCGCCAGACTTTTTATGCAGGCACAATGCACCCATATTTACTGTCATTTTTTCTTAAATCTGGCTTTAAACATTAGGGATCATTTAATTACAAATTTTAAATTATTCAATGAAGCAGACTGGAGTTAATTAGTAATTAACTTGCTTTCATTTCTGTTCGCAAGTTCCAAAAAATCAAGATTTTATCTCACTTTCAATCCAATATGGCCGACTCGTGACTAAGGCCCATGGCACAAAATATGTTTCCAAGTAAAATGCATGTCATGAGCCCTATAATCAATTCGGGGTATTTAGCGGCTGTGGCTACAATTTGTGCCATTGACAGGCTACTGAGAATAGCCGTAGCCAGGACAATTTTCAACACAGCCTATGAAATCTACTCACTGAGGAAGCGTTAACCACGTCAGCCATGACGGTGAGTACCGGGTGGAGCCGTCTAGCGCCCTGTCTCCCTCCAGTACTTTGAGTACGATTGCTTTGGAGTTGGCGTTGGCCTTCAGGACGCTGACTGCGTCGGTGTGGGACAGGTTCCAGAGGCTAGTGCCATTGACTGTCAGGATGATGTCTCCTTTCTGAACAGAAAAAAAACCACAAAAGACCATCTTTAACCTTATCTCCCTAGCATAATTTACTAGGAACCGTACCCATCCTGGTAAATTCCAACACCCACATGGGAAATCCTACACACGCACTGTTGGACTTAGTTTCTGGAGGTATGCCAAACCCAATGTAAAAGACCTTCAGTTTAGGGGTACTGTACCTATCCCAACAGATTTAAACAAAACCTGCTGTTGGGCTTTGATGGGTTGAGTTCAGAGTTCTTCCACCTCTGTGAGCCCTTACCTGCTACTGAGGAATTTCTTCTGAAATATAGTTCAGAGGTGTTTCCTTCCCACACTCCAAAACTGAACATGTCATCATGGTCTCCTTCCTCTAGGCTCCCTCGGGCTTCAAGGAAACACTGCCTGGGAGCGTAATTTTTATTCCTACGAGGGTTAGGGGCAATGTCATGAATAATTCATGTTTATCCATGGGAACGGACAATGACATCAACAGCATTGTTGTTAGTTACTCAACTAGTTACAATACATTAAAGCATTTTAAAGAACGGTTGTCGTCCAGCTACCACACAGTAGCCTAGTGGATAGCGAGATGAGCTTATGGATACAAAGATCCCTGGTTCGAATCCACGTCGTCGCTGCTCATCTTCATCAGCTATTTTTCTTCTCCAAATTTCTCACTGAGATAATTTTAAATTAAGGGGAAAATAGAACGAGAACCTAAGTCTTGCAATGATTCAAAGGAAAAACTGAATTATTCATGACATTGCCCCTAACCCTCCTAGGAAAAAAAATTACGTTGCCTGGGAACTGTGGAGGCACCCTTAGTGTACTTAGCAGAGAAAATTTAAATTGCAACTGTTCACGGACCTTGAGTTGGCCCTGTCTACCGACACAGCCATCAGCCTGGACGTTGGTGACGAAGACCGGCACGTCGCCCCGTGGTCCTCCCCGGCCTCCACTGACGCTGATGCCTAGGCTCTCTTTGCTGCCCTGTCAGGATGATAAAAAGGTCAAAGGTCAGGAGTGAAGAGGTCGTGCTTCCAGGGTCACAAACGAGGTCATACTGGTAGAGTGTCGTGGTCAGGCGTCATGAACTGAAGACCTTATCGGTACATACTCTACATGTAGATCTGACTCCCTTCAATGGGTTTGATACTTTTGTGTCCTTGAGCAGAATATATTTTATCATTTATTGCTGATCTCTAGCCACAGGTGTCTGTGAAGGCGATGTTTAACATCACCTTCTCAACATTTTGGTCAGAAAATGAGGTCACACTGTTAGAGTGTCGTGTCAGGGATGTCACTAACTGAAGACCTTTTCAGTACATACTTTATATGTAGATCTGACTCCAGTCAATGGGGTTGCGTTGTGTGTTTGTGCCCTTGGGCAAGGCATTTTATCTTAATTTTTGTTGCTTATCTCCAGCCACAGGTATGTGTGAAGGCAATGTTTTACACCATCTACTCAATATTTCGGTTAACAAAGGAGGTCATCTGAATGCATGAAATCTGTTTCGTGCTTGTGGTCCTCAGACATCATTACATTAAAAATCAGTGCATGGCTGTTCCTTTTCTCTGTCGAACTACGCATCAATTTATGAGTCGGAATTATTTGTCGGGCTTTTCACTTCCCAGCTTTTTGTCATTTCAGGCGGCTATGCCATGAGTAGAATCTCAGTATGGGAGTTTATGGGCTCCGTGCGCCAACAAAAGAGGGCGCCCTTTCACCTAGCAAAGACGTCTCATGGGCGGGACATTTTGTTGGTTGACATGCGCGCACCGTTCCCCGTGTGTGACGCACGTACACCATGGGATTTGTACTATGTACATGCGCAGTGGCTGCGTTTCGCGGCAAAATATTGCAGTCAGGCAAGATGGTGTCAATCGGTCACCCCCAACTGTACTTTCTTTGCCGGTGAGGGGGTACTTGTAAATGGAGCGGATAAGCACTGCCGATTGTCCTTTGCGATTACCCATTTTGCTAGCTATGGCCAAGTTCGCGCAAGGACTATAGTTGACCAATGGTTAACTAACGTTTGCCCGAACTCTGTCTAGTCGACGATGGTTGACTACGCTAGTCAACTATTTGGAACCAGCCTACTGGGGTTGGTTGCTTCGCTGGTAACCAATAGCCGCGCGCATTCATAACGCTAGCAGGGAGCCAGAATCCAGAAGTTTTGCGATGACATTTTGACCAGCGTTTGACGAGAGACGTTCGCACGTTGCTACCAGTGCGCAGGCGTAAGGTACGTCACAAATCAACCACTAGTCGACTAATGGTCCTTGCCCGAACTTGGCCAATGCCGCCCTGCTAAATTGTCCACGCCAAGGAGACTACCGATACCTTCTTGATGTTGATGAGTTTCTCCTGCCTGGTGTGGAGGGCCGCAGACTCCCTGGAGACGGCGATGGCCTCCGATGGGAAGTCGTTGAGAAAGTCTTGGACATGGAGGGACTCGGCGTCCTGGGTCTCCGGTGAGGGTCTCACGGTACGGACGACGACCAATCGTATTCTGTCGCCGGCATCCTGTGTGGGAGCCAATCAACACAATCTTCTATAATATGGCACACAACTGGCCTGTTTTTTGTTTATAAAAACATCAGGTGGCAAAAATTCCTGACTGGCCACAGTATTTAAAGTTATAGTCCATCATTTGTAATTTGTGCATTTTGTTCGTTTGAAGCAACAAAAGTGCTCAAAATCTAAAGAAGGGTACTGTACAACTAACCCTGATAAAGTTTCAGCTCAGCTTCAGCTGTATATTCTGAGAAAAACGGCATTCTAGGATCTCAATTTCAAATCAAAAGTTGCTGAATCATGTTTTGAATTGCGCCTGAATTCAGCGTCCGAGACACGTTCTCGCTGAGCCGAATGCAGTTACGCGATGTCGCGCACTGATCTGACGAATTATAGCAACCGGGGGTGCGTGTGTGCGTCGTGCCAATGCTTGCGCGCGCTTCGCCGAATATCAAAACGAACTACTAATTTAAATGTTCCTACGGTGCGTCTTAAGAAGCACCGTTGGAAAAGCCTTCTTTCGTTGATTACTTCAAAATGACAGCTTGCCAGAAAGAATAATTTCACAGGGAGTTTAGTCCCCTCACTATCTTTCAACCAAGTATGTTTTTCAACAATAACTACGCCAGCTACTTTTCGGATAGCTGCAAATGATGGACTATAGCTTTAACCCTCCAACTCTAGGAGATTTAAATAAAGCTGTCTCAGCAGTCAAATTCCATTAAGTGACCTGGATATTTATGATTACCTATCGCTTTTTGCTATTGGAATCTCAGTGTGCTACATAAAAGCAGGCCTGACTGGCTGTGACTGTTTGCGTCACTTGATACAGCCATACTTTGACTATAGGTGATTGATGCGCCAGGTTTTGAGAACTGGTTTCTGTCGTCTATGTTTCAAATTAACCGTTGGCTAGCATGTGTGTGAGGCACTTGATACCAGTTTGGTTAACTGAATCATACTTGTCAGATATGTGGTTAAAATGTGACCGGCTCCACAAAAAACGGTATGTCGCAAACAAAAATGATACATGGTTGGAAAGCCCACAACGTAAGCTTTCATTTGGTATATAATAGAGCTCCATAGCCCCTCCCGTTCTGGAGATATGACATATTTGCATATTAATTACTTCCTTGGAGTTCAAATTACACAACTGACAAAACAGGCTTTGAAATAGCTGGCTTTGATGTAGAACAACAGAACGATGCACACAAAATGGCTGCTTTTTTCCGACTTTGTTCATCAAAATCATCGTTTCTGTGAATGAAACCTGAAACTGTAGGTATTAAAGATGTCATTCATGACAAAAACGAAAATTACATTTTGACGAAATTTTCACGCTCTCAATAATGAGCAGGCTATTACACGATAATGCACAAAGCAACTCAAATGTCATAAGTGCAGGACGTACTGCTGAGATGCTTACAAAATGCATCCAGGAAACGTATCGTTCGATGGAAAACCTCAGGACGGTAGTCAACTGACCTTGATACTCTGTGCGGCTCTGTCCGGCGTGGCTTGCCGCAGGTCCTGTCCGTTCACCTCAATGACGCGGTCGTCCGCTTTGAGACGTCGGTCCCTCCAAGCTACGCTGTCCTCGAGCTGAACAGAGATGAATAAAAAGCATAGTTTAGGCCCCCCCAAAAAAATAAGTCGGTCTCTGGTCAGCGCGCGCGTCGATTTTAATCACGCGTGTCAATCTTTTTTTTTTCCAAAATGTTCCGCGGTAGCTCCTACAGCGCCCTCTATTGCCGCACCTCCTCAATTTTTTTTTACCAAAGAGCACCAAGGAATGGGAAATTGCACCAAGGCAAATGATCGAGAGCACCAAGGCAAATTATGGAGGACACCAATGTACATGAGGATACCAAGTAGCAAAATAGTACCCCACCTTGTCTGTACAATCCAAGCTTGAAGAAAAAAAAAAAGCCAAAAAAAAAACAAAAAAAGCCGCGTCCCCGCGTCAATTCCGGAACTTTGGTCTGACCAGAGACCGAGTATTTTTTTTTTTGGCCTTATGCTACTGCAAGGCATGCGACTGGGAATTTAGAAAAAAAATGAGGGAACTCCGAGAACGCACAAGACTTTGTACGGTATTTTTCAATTTGTAATGTCATTCATGAGAAGTAAAAAAACGACGAAATCAGCGGATCCGAGGAAATGTTGCATGCCTGTACTGCAATATTTGAAGAAGGAGCCATCAACGACAGAATCAATCATGAACTCTGTGGAGTATCAGCGGTTCCAAAGAGAAAGTTAAGGGAGGCTGCTGGGGGGTGGGGGGGGGGATTTGAAAGCACTCCCAACGACGCCTGAAACTCGCAAGGAGACACCATATAGTCGGCACATTCAGAACACAGTAAGTTGAAATGTGAAAATGTACACAAAATTATAAGACAGTGATCTGGAAATGAGAAAAGGAATTCTTACCACTTCCACGACGTACACGCCAGGATCGTTTCTGAAAGGGAAACACAATAAATTAACATGACAAAATGACTACAATGGGAACAGTTTATGCAGTGTGATGAAGAACTGTTTAAATCTTTTGAAAACAACCAAGTACAACCAGGATTGATGCATCTCAGAGGGTGGAGCACAAGGAACATTGGTGAATAAGGGAGGTTTAGGGGTAATGAAAATGGACATTTTTATAATCCTAAGGCCAAAAAAAATTCTCTGGTTTCTGGTGTGCTTGCGCATCGCTGTAGCCATGCGCATCGGCAAAATTAAAAAAAAAAATTTTTCAATGTAAGATGATTTCTCCAAACCCCCAAAGACACTGGTTTGACTGGAATCCTGTTGTTTTCTGGGCGAGGGGGGGGGGGGGGAGGGGGGGGGAGGAGGGAGGAGGGACTCTGAGCGCAGTGCCAACTGCGCCTGACAGTTTCCCAATTACTTTTGCAGATTCAGAATATAACGAGTCGTGCATACTTCGCACAATACATGCTTAATCCTATGCACGCACGCACTGTGTCTCGTCCGCTTGAGCTGTTACAAGTGGCCACAATGTGCAATCTAATGTTCAAGCACACTTTCCAAGTAGTCAAAATTTCTAGGAAGCCTTCTCTAAGGCCAAAAAAAAAAAGTCTCCGGTTTCTGGTATGCGCGCGCTTCGCCGTAGCCATGCGCGTCGGCAAAATGAAAAAAAAAAAAATTTTCAATGAAAGATGATGTCTCAAAACCGCCAAACTCACTGGTTTGACTGGAATCCTGCTGCTGCCCAATTTTAACGTGTTTTTAGATTGGGTTATGGTCGAGAATAAGCTTTATGTGGTCTCTCTGGACTCCCATATATTTGCACTAAGTTTAGTCGGGCACCATTTGCAGTCATCACCTGACATTTGAAGCAAAAAAATCAGGTAAAAAAAAAAAAAAAAGCCGCGTCGCCGCACCACTTTTTGGGCAAGCTCCATACCAGAAACCGGAGACTTTTTTTTTGGGCCTAATAGTCTAAAAAAAACACGAGCAACTCCTTACCTTCTGGCAGCGATCTTGATGCCCAGGGGCACCCCAGGCACTTTGTTCAGACCGATCTTGTAGGTCTCTGTCTGGCTGGTGTTCTCCGCTTTCTCCCTGTACACAGTCAGATGGACCGGGGAGCGGCACCGATGGAGCGCCATGCGAGCAACCTGGTGGCTGACGTCTTTCAGGTCAACGTCGTTAACCTTGGAAGCAGGTGGAGAGATTAACATTGAATGACTGACCAAGAGTTTTAGGCCAAACTTTAATCCTAACCCACCTCACTCCTCCAAAATCCTCCTGGCGGTTTTGGAGGATTCTAGAGGATTGAGGATGAATGGTGATTGAATCAAATGAGGATTCTGGAGGATTGAGGATGAATGGTGATTGAAGCACATGGGGATTTTGGAGGATTGAGGATGAATGGTGATTGAAGCACATGAGGATTTTGGAGGATTGAGGATGAATGGTGAATGAAGCACCAGAGGATTTTGGAGGATTGAGGATGAATGCATTTTGAGGCAGGACTGTCTGATGATTTTGAAGGATTTGGCATTGGTTATCCTTCATTTAAACACGAGTGCAAAGTTTTGGGAAGAGGATGATTTTGGAGGATTGAGGATGAATGCATTTTGAGGCAGGACTGTCTGACAATTTTGAAAAATTTAGTCGGAGTTGAAAAATTTTGAAGGATTTTGGAGGATTGAGGATGGTTGTAAGCAACAAGGGCCTAGGGGGTTAGGGTTAATAACTCTTATGTAAAAGTTCAAGTAAATTTTCAACAAATTTCGTATTGAAATAGAAAACCATGTACATTTTAACCCTAACTCCCTAGGGGGTGTGCAAAATCATATTGAAATTGAAGGATTCAGGACTGTTAGGGCTATTTGTATTTAGATTAAATTAATCAGTTGTCTCTTGAAATCAAGCCGAATCTGTGGGTGAGGTGCTATAAAACGAATATTGACTGCTTGAACTCGTGGTATAGTAAACCTTGCCTCCCTCGGTGATCCATGGAGCATTCGTTTTCCCTCGGCGAATATAACGCTCAATCAAGAGGCTAGTTTGTACTACACTACTCGAAGCAGTCAATATTTGTATAATATACAAATTGGGATGACGTGGCTTGCCTAGGGCACAGCATGTGACAAGGAGCTAGATTTGATTCACTGAATGTACTCACTTGAACAATCTGATCGCCGGCCGCTATCCTTCCGTCTCTGGCTATTATGCCGCCATCGGTTACTTCTTGGACGATTATGCCAATCTGATGATATGATCAAAAAAAAAAAAGGCTTCAAGAATAAGCGAAGACATTGACAATGGACTGTGTGCTCTCACTGTAGATGGTTCCCAGGGAACACACTTGTGTTGAAACAAGTCATCACAAGTCTAATAGTCTATCATGATTCCATCATGAGTCAATTGCAAGTCAATCACAAGTCTATCATAATGCCATCACCAGTCTATCATGACTCCATCACAAGTCAATCATGACTCCATGACAAGTCAATCACAAGTCAATCACAAGTCAATCACAAGTCAATCACAAGTCAATCACAAGTCTATCATAACGCCATCACCAGTCTATCATGACTCCATCACAAGTCAATCATGACTCCATCACAAGTCCATCACAAGTCAATCACAAGTCAATCACAAGCCAATCACATGTCCATCACAAGTCTATCACGATTCCATCACAGGTACACCACATGTCCATCACAAGTCTATCATAACGCCATCACCAGTCTATCATGACTCCATCACAAGTCAATCACAAGTCAATCACAAGCCAATCACATGTCCATCACAATTCTGTCACATGTGACTCAATCACAAGACTATCATTTAGAAACCAATCACATGTCCATCACAAGTCAATCACAAGCCAACCACAAGTCAATCACAAGTCAATCACAAGCCAATCACATGTCCATCACAATTCTGTCACATGTGACTCAATCACAAGACTATCATTTAGAAACCAATCACATGCCCATCACAAGTCTATCATGATTCCATCACAAATCTATCATGACTCCATCACAAGTCAATCACAAGCCAATCACATGTCCATCACAAGTCAATCATGATTCCATCACATGTACATCACATGTACATCACATGTACATCACATGTACATCACATGTACATCACAATTCTATCATGACTCCATCAGGAATCAATCACATGTCCATCACAAGTCTGTCATGATTCCATCACAAGTTCATCACAAGTCAATCACAAGCCAATCACAAGCCAATCACAAGCCAATCACATGTCCATCACAAGTCTATTACTAGTCCATCACAAGTCTGTCACATGTGACTCAATCACAAGTCTATCATTTACAAACCAATCACATGCCCATCACAAGTCTATCATGATGTTGCAAAGTACTCACCAGTGGTGTTTCGTTGCCCCCTACGATACTTATCCCCAGCTCCTCGTCTCTCCTTCTTGTGATCTCTATCGTGGTCAGCGTGCCGTCTTTTATCGGGACTCCCACTGGAACTGCATGTACAAGGGCAAAGGAAATATAATAAATAACCAAAACAGATGGAGAATTTCACAATCAGTTCGTCTCAATTCTAGGCCAACAGAGGGGATTTACAATAACAGTGCGCCCGGCATGCCTCGAAATGCTAGCAAATGACAGTTGGCTTATGCTTGAAAGGCCCGGGCCCAATTTCACGGCGCTGCTAAGCACAAAACTTTGCTTAGCACAAAAAAAGTCTGGCTTAATAAAAGCAGGTTACCAGCCAAAACTCCATGTGATTTTCATGCTAAGCAAACAACAGCTGAATACCAATCTCGAGCAATATACATCACGTGGCGTTTTGGCTGGTAACCTGCTTTTATAAGCCAGACTTTTTTTGTGCTAAGCAAATGTTTGTGCTTCGCAGTGCCGTGAAATTGGCCCTTGGAATTTCACGGCGCTGCTAAGCACAAAAATTTGCTTAGCACAAAAAAGTCTGGCTTATAAGAGCAGGTTACCAGCCAAAACTCCATGTGATTTTCATGCTAAGCAAACAACAGCTGAATACCAATCTCGGGCAATATACATCACATGGCGTTTTGGCTGGTAACCTGCTTTTATAAGCCAGACTTTTTTTTGTGCTAAGCAAATTTTTGTATTTGAATACATTAACATGGATTTGGGAACATTAGAGAATATGGCCAAAATTTGGGCGGGGCTTAATAGATTGTTCAATTAGGGGCGGGGCTTATGTCCACCCCCCCCCCAAGTGTCAATCTCATTTATACCTGGCCTGGATCTGTAGGGACACTCCCAGACGTGATTCTCCTTAGCCTCGGCCGGGCCATGCCACGTACAGCCCTGGGGCTCATTGACGCAGTGCGCCGCGTTGCCGGGGCAACGGCTGGTCAGGTGGGGCTCCAGGTCGCACCGCGGCATGGTGGCGCTGCAGTAGCTGGTGTTCGGGCAGACTACCAGCAATCTGTCCAACATTCTGCGCAAAAAAGAAAACAAACAAAATATAAACTTCTGTTATTAATCTACATGTGGTACATAAGTATATCTTTAAAAAGAGATTTTTAAAGTACATGTAGTTGTCCCAAAAAATGGTCTGAGAGATCTATATTGAAGGATTCTTAATGCAATATTCAGATTGGTACATAAATGTGTAGGCCTAATTGCGGTATTCAAGATTTGTTTTCTAATTTCTTACTCTTCTTAAACCTCACAATGTAGAAATATTTTACTTTTACCAGAACAAAACTACAGTTTTCCCTTGTGGTGCTCTCATACACAATAGGTACTGTACATGTACATGCAAATACAGCACACCAATGTATCTAAACCATTTTTTTTTTCAAAATTGAACACATAAGTACCTGTACACACGAACACGATAGTACATTTTGTACATGTAGCCATGATATAAAATTTGTACATTACATTGTATGTAATTTACATGTGCAACAGAAACATTACATGTACCTGTACCTCTTTTGTCTTCTCTATAACACACACAATATTTTCTGCATTTTTGCAGCAAAGGTAGACCATACATATATCGGGTAGGCCTACTGTAAAAAAGAATACATTGCAGCATCCAGACGCCACTTTTTTGGTAATGTACAAAGTCTATGGAGAGTCGAGTACATTTCCAAAGTATTTTCTAACAGACAATAAATGCAAAAAGTGGCATCAGGATGCAACATTCTTTCCTATAGACACTTTTTCAATTCCAATGTGAAAGTTTAAAGAAATACCGGTACATACATGAACGTGATAGAAATCAAACAAGAAATAATGACGATAGAAAAAATTCCAACCCCCTGTTATTTTCCTCATAATCGAATTACATGAGGGTCTAGAGGGAACAGCTGTCAATCCTATTACATAGCCCTAGGTACCATGTACACGTGCCTCCCATCAGAGACAAGCCAATTCGTTCAGGAGCTCATTGCCTTGTCCGCTTTCGTCTTCCGATCCCCCAGTGACAGAGCTCAGCACCCCCAGGGCCTAATTAAGCCCTTGTCGAGTCCAACCCCTTGTCTTTCTCTCTCCGCTCATAATATTCCAATTTGCGAACCAGCAATTTGATCCCGGACGACAGTGATACATGAGAAGTGGTGATGTGTTGTGGCGGTGAGAACGTGCCAAGTCTCCGCGCACCGTGAATTTTAAAACCCGCCTTCTGGTGTGTTTATCATAATAATGCATTTATCATGGTCATGGATGCGTAAATTGAACAAAATGATGAGTCAGATTACCAAAGCACTATCAGTTAGATTCAAATTTATTATAAATTCTGAGAAAAACAAAATGGAACCTTAGGCTAACTGGTCATGTTTTTTCTTTCTTCCTTTTTGCAGATCTAGAGATCAGTAGGGAGATCTCAATTAAACCCATTCCAGGAAGTTTAGGTAACTGAAATTTATTATAATCTGTAATTTCATAGCTTAATACTGTCCTTCAACTTTGACAACACATTGTGCAGTACTACAATGAATACATAAATGTACATGAGCCTTGTATGGAATTGTGTGCATGTTTGCATAAAATATTAACAATGTAAATGCCTTGTGTCTCTGGGGTGATTTGGTTGCCAATAGTCATTCTTGCCGTACATTTTATGATGGCAAAGACGCAAACCTTGCTGATAATTACGGTACAGTAGGGTATTAGGAAAGCAGGGAATTTAGCATAATAGGTATTCTGAAGTGAAATTGACAGCATATCCGATATCGTGTATGCAATGTATTGGTGCACACAATAAATTTCTTACAAAGACTTGTATACGAACATGTAAATGTACATTTGTACATGTACATACCCGGTACACTATACACAAATCTTCAATCAAACATGTCAAAAGTCTTACATGTAGTGTACATGTATACATGTACATGTACATGTACACATGCACATTCATAGTTCTTATTTCAATGGGGCTCGCTCAATGACGACCATTTCTGTAGGAGAACTGCGACTGCGTATTTTACGCAATCAAGCACACGCATTGCGCAGTGTGGAAAATGTTGAAAAACACGCGCGCTTGTTGCTCGAAATGTGTTTCAAAAACGACGCAGCCGATGCGCGTTATGCAAGTAGACGCTCAAAATTCGGATGCACGTGGATGGTCTGTAGGAAATGACGTCATTTGAACGAGACCTATATGAAATACTTTTAAAATAGAATTTGATACTGCTTGTAAACATACAAACCGTATGTATACATGTATGTGTACTCAGAAATATTTTGTCAGTTTGTATTAAATTTCAAGCAAGAAAAGTTACCTTCTTGTAACAGAAAAAAAGGTGGGTATCACACCGTGGAGGAATAAAAACCAATACGACAAGTGCAGCTGTTTTTCTACGCACAGATGAATCCTTGCAAATTCATCAACACCAGTCCACTTTAGTTCCATTGATTTTGGGTGGGGTTAATTGGAAAAAAGGGGGGGGGGAGTGGGGCACACAATCTGCTCTTCAGTCATAAATCAATATTCCGAGTATTGTGTACCGGTTCATACTGTACAAATGTACGAACTACATGTACCAAGGGATCCAAATTAAGTGTTCACTGAAAAAAAAAAAATCAAGGTCATTAAATTTATCAGAAAATGTATCTGGACTAAGGCACTAAAAATAAACCCAACCAGAGCACCAAAAAAAAAGAAGAAAAATAATTGGGGAGTTGAATTGAGAATTGAAAATTCAAAATTAGTTATTTTTTTATTTTTTATTTTGTAAAGGAAAGTGATAATTTCAACCACTGCAACCTTATCGTCATCACAATTTCTGTTAACTGTCAAGGAAGAAACGGACAAATTCCAGTACAAACAAACACTTCAGCATCAAACTGTGCAGTAAAATATGTCAAGCAAAACGCAGAAAGGTTTCACTGTGCACAAACTATCCTGTCACTGTGCCTGTTGGTAAACAGTACTATTCTCTGTGATAACACCCCTGAACCGATAGTGTGAATAGCACAGCAGGCACAACTATCAAAACACATAAACAGGTGTACCAGTAGGCCTTAGACACTATTGTGTTTCCCTGTATCTGCCAATATAGCAGATCTGCAACACAAAAGATGCATTATGTTCGCCGCTACGCGCATACTTTTTGTGGCGAAAAAGGAACGCTGAACAAACGTGCATGTTCATGTATTTGTACCGCTAGCGTGCTTGGATTAAAGGGAATATATTCATTTTCATTTCATTTCATTTATTAATTTCACAGGTAAAAATTCAAGTACAGACAATAAGAACAGTAAAGAAAACAAAAACATGCACATACAGTTAGGAGAGAGAACAAGAAAAAAAAAAAAAAAAAGTAGCACCCCTGATGGATTTTAAAAAAGTAAACTAAATTACTATCGAGTTAATCTCCTGAATGAAATATATCCAACATTTGCAAACTGAATGAAATATATACAACATTTGCAAACATCGAAAAACAAAACTACCAAGTTTGTAAGAAATACCTTACAAGGATGTTGGTAAATGACAGTCTAAAGCATCCTGTAAAATTATGGCACCTGGTGTGAAGTCATTCTCAAGAAAATAGTATTTTTGTATAAATTTCCAACAGTGGTCGGCCGACCACCGCTGGAAAAACCTAACTATTTTTCAACTACTGCTCCAAATGTACCTTTTTCAGTCGAAATTTTGTTTGCTATTGGTTACATGTTCATGGGGGGGGGGGCAGGCAGGCCAGCTAGACTGGTTTCCTTACCTTACAATTTTTCCGGCATCTATAAATTGATCTATTTCATCCTGAGTGGAGTCAGGGAACCAGACTATTTGAACATTTTTTGTTTTTCTTGGTTTTTCCAGCATTTTCGAACACAAAACTTCAAACATGTCAGTGTAACAATATTTGATCTATTAAGCTAACACCTCAAATAGTTCATTTCTGAAAATTACAGCAAAAGCCAATGATGTACATATTCCCTTTAAACCCTTTATGCTATGCTGTCAACTCCAAATTCTCCTCGAAAATCAGACCGTTTTTTTCTTTTTCTTTTTCTAGGTGGGCTGACAATACGCTAACCTTGCTTTTAATAATACCGGGGTTTGGCTGTGATGACAATGGAATTCCACACAGGTTAGGTGCTGTGCTGGCACAATGGAGTGATTTCACTTTTGTTGTGCGATTTATTACGGTATGCGCAAGTGACTGTTGTAGGATGCGTTGGAATGCAATTTAAAATCCTGCACAAGATTTTTTTTGTCAAGTAAACATGGTAAATAGTTGTGGTATGAGTGTACTCTACTGCGATGCATAACATGTTCCCCATTAAAACCCTCCTATGCAAACTAACATTTTGTGCCAATTTGTCCTGAGTTAAAATCAATCAAGTGACTGTTTTCAACAGTTAAGAATGCCCAGCCTACATAAAGCAGGATTGACTGGTTGTGACTGTTTAAGTAATTTGCTACAGCTATGGTACTGGTACTGCTTTGACTCCCGGTGAGTGATAAAACAGCTGTGACCACGACTTGCCTGCTTTGTCTGTTGACCCAGTTTGACTAGTCACAGTGCTTGCTTAATGTATGATCTGACTGCTGGTGACTAGCCTTTGTAAAAAGTATAGCAGCGGAAGTGGAAGTGAATTTTGACTGTCTGTGACTGGAATTGGGTTACAACAGGGCACAAACATGCACCATAAACATGATAAATGATATCCCTTCCCATTTTCTGTTGAATTGTGCATAGTGCCTAGAACACAAGCACAGTAGTTTGTTGGGACTCGGAGCTCAACTTTGCAGGAAATATGGAAAGTCGATGATACATGTTCCAACAGGGTGTTTAAGTTGTGTACTCTCTAAACAAAGTCTCAAAATCAAAACTGGGTTCCAGAAGGCTAGCAATGCACCCGTCTGCTTGTTTTTTGAAAGCGGCTCTTGTGCCGTTTCCTCACCCAAATTATTGTGGAAATTTACCACACGTACACTGATGAATAAAGACAAACAGACAAACACTCAACTTAAAGTACTGTCCAACATACTAAATTATGTATTGATGCAGGTCAACAACTAAATTGTTTTATAAAGCTGATGACTGGCTCAATCAAAATGATCAATGAAACAAAATCTGGTACAGTGTATACAAATACACGTACATGTACACGTACACCATGTACAAACATTGTAACATTTGGTAATATTCAAATGTCAATGTGGGAAGTTGCTTTGCCTTGGCCATGCAGGAGGCCTCCATGAATGTGTAGTGGTGGCATGCTCAGAATGTACCCCGAATAACAACTTTTATGAACATTATTTCAACTCCTGCAAACTGCTCACTGACTCAATTGACCTGAAATATAAAAAAAAGAGTGGCCTGATATTTCATCCTTTAGCAGGGGCTCTTCAGAAGCCTCTGAAGAAATCCTAGCTAAGGACTAACACCAAGTGTACATGTATTTAAAATGAACACTCTACACGTACAGTATGCACAAAAGGGATGGCACAAATCGACTGTTTTTACAGCCTTGGGAACAAACCAAATTCCCAGGTCCTCATACAATAATTGACCGGCCGAGCACGTCCAAATCCCATCAAAAACCTCTTCTTTACAACAAGACTATGACTCACTCACAAAGTGACAGTGGGCTGCGATTTTGTATGCATCCCTGACGTCCTTAAAAAAGCACTCGGGACAACCCATTACAATCTGTGGATTGTGTGCACTCAGCATTGTACAAATTTTACGCTTGTACACGTACCAGCGCACTTGGATGATGTCAATTGGGTCCTGTCAAAACAATTTTTTACAAAAAACAGGGATCGAATAATATTTTTGAAGTCTGGGGACCCCAAGCAATAGGGCCTAATGCATTTGATGGGCTTCTGGTCAAATCAACACAAACCTATGGTTGGCCCTCCTCAAGAATGTGCCAATTGCACTAACCTAACCACCCCAACTCTATCAAAATCCATCCCCCCATTTTGGTGGATTTTGGGGGACTTGGTCCAGAAGGCCTGGCGTGACTTAATATTGATGGAGTATGATGGACTTGGGCCTAATGGCCTGCAGCAGTGCTAGGGGTATCCGATTGATTTTGCCTAGCTTCCTGTACTGCTATTGTGATAAAAGCCATGTGTAGCAAGTCCATGAATGTCAACCAGTGCATCAGTAGTGGATTCCATTATGACATGTACAGTTTTGTATTGGACGCACAGTGATTGATGGATTTTGATGGAATTGGTCCAGTTCCTAGTAAAAGACGCTAGGGAGTTAGGGCTAAGGAAGAGTACATGTATTAAGCCAGACATTTTATCAAAGCAAAGCTGAATCAAGTTATTATAGCCAGTCAATCCTGCTTGATACAATAGACTGGGAGCTCTTTACTGTTGAAAGCAGTTGCTTGATTGAATTTTCACTTCACAGAGATGCCACCAGGGCCCACTTTTACGGCGCTGCTTAACAGTTAGCAGAAAAGTTGTGCTTAGCATAGCAGACAAATTTGCTAACCTTAAGCACTATTTCACAGCGTGGATGTACTATCGGTCGCGCGTGCATGGGGATTCCTATTGTTACGTCACTAGGTTAAGCAAAGTTTTCCTCTGAAGTAAGCGTGCCTTTTGCTGTGCTTATGCTACAGTCTCCATGAAATAAACGGAGGCTCTGTTAGCAGAAAATCATGTGCTAAGCAGCGCCATAAAATTGAGCCCATATCAATAAACAGCCTAAAGCACTACTAAAAAACCTGAAACTACCCTTACCCCCTTTCAAAAACGTGTTTTTTGGATGTTGCAGACCAAATCCAACACTATGAATTTGTCACATTTTTTTGAAAAAAAAAAACCCTGACTGTAGGTTAAAACCTGAAAAGTGGCATCTCTGATGTCTTCGTGGACAACTTGGCATGGAATACTGTACATAGGAGGGTTAACGGTACAATGTACAGTGCTGTAAATCACTTTCATTTAATCATGGGTTGAAGGGAATGTACAACATTTGCTTTTGCTGCAATTTTCAGAAATAAATGGATTTGGAAGAAATACATACTATGTTATGGTAAACATTGTTAAACTGACTTGTTTCACGTTTTGGGCTTGTAGATGCTGAAAAAACCAAGAAAACCAATCATGTTCTTGTAGTCTGGTTCCTTGACCCCACTTACGATGAAATGGAGCAATTTATAGACATTGGCATGATTGGGGAATTGTTAGGTCAAAAAATCAATCTAGCAGGCTTGTACCGGGACCCCTTCACAGGTGTGTAATCAATTGCAAAGAAAATGCGGAATAACTAAAAATGACAAATTAGGAGCAGTTTTTGAAAAAAAAAGGCAGTTTTCTCCAACGCTGGTCGGCCGACCAGCGTTGGAAAAATACAATTTTTCTTGAAAATGTCAGCACACCAGGAGCCACGATTTTACGGGATGTTTCAGACTGTCATTCCCTAACAATTCAGTAAGGTATTTGTGATAATTTGATCATGTCGTTTTTAGATGTTTACAAATGTTGTATCTTCCCTTTAACATTGACAGTAAATTGAAAACATACAAGCTCAAACCACGAAGCTTTTGTCTTAAGGTTGAACTTACATTACTAAGAAATCTACATACACTGTAAACCGTTGGTACATCTGAAAATGTGTAAATGTTTTTTCGGACCGTCCTGTCGTTTGGGTGCTGATAGTTTCACCACAGTCACAGCAGACTGTTGATTCCTGTGCAATCACCACATCCTAGGGTGTCTGGTATCCAGACTCCCTAAAATAATCCATTGCTTTGCCCACATCCTGACGTTTCCAACTTGACACCAAGCGTGGTTTACCCCAAAGACCACAAGTGGAAGATTTTGGCAATTTGCTTGTGGGCATCTTTTCGGAGTTCGTCATGTTTGCGACATACCTCATACATGTTTGCTGTATTGAAGCTGATTTTTATACATTGGGGATTCGAACCTCTGACCGTTGGTGCAAAAACACAAATCTATGAAAAAATAGCGAGGAATGCGGGACTCGGACCTCTGACCAATGTCAAAATACCGTACCGGTATACAGTTAAAGTGGTACAAAAACACTGAATTTGTGGGAAGTGTGAGAAATGCGAGACTCGAACCTCTGACCACCATGACCGCTGAAATACTGACCGGCACAGCAAGTGGTACAAAAGCACTAATGTGAGAAATGGGGTACTCGAACTTCTGACCACCGATATACAGCACCGGGATTTTCACGGTCCAAAACCAAAGTTCGCAAAACTGGATACGTCAACCTGATCTGTTGATAGTGCCCTATCCATGAACAGTTCACCCGCAATTGTCGCGGATGGGACACCCTACATTATTATTTTTGGAATTAAGGCGGTGTCCAAATTACTTTGTACACAATATAGGGGAGTGTGGCCTAGTGGTTTAGGGTTCGTGACTCACGATCAGAGGGTCAGGGGTTCGAATCCAGCTGCTGGTCATATGTTGTGCCCTTGGGCAAGCCAATTCACCCCCACTTGCCTCTCTCCACACACAGGAGTATGAATGGGTACCGGCATTAGCTGGGGAGTAACCTGCGATGGACTGGCATCCCAACCAGGGGGAGTAGAAATAGTCTCAGTCGTTTCATGCGACTGAAACCGGAGATAAACGCCGGCCTGATGGGCCACATAGGCCGGTGACAGAAGTTTACTAACTACCAAATTACTTGGCTATATGGCTGAAAATTATGTGCCTAAATGGTGTTATTGCAAGCCGCACTCAAGCTATTCCGAAGCAGCCTCCGTCGAAATTCACTCTGGACAATGTAGGACCAAGACTACCCCTCCTCCCCAAATAAAAACAAAAACACCCACCTCTTAACGATGAAGCTGGACGGCCGGCAGTCTTGGCTGGTCAGGGGCTTGCGGTCGACAGGGCACATCTTATGGATGCGGACCGTGCTGCGGATACACCGGACACAGAAGGTGTGGCCGCAGATGGTGTCCGTCGGGGAGACCAGCGGCTGCAGGCAGATGTTGCACGTCAGCTCCTCGTCCACGCTCTCACAGTAGTCGTACAGGTGGTTGGCGTGGGGCTCGTGGACCTGGCCGCAGGTCCGGCACAGGACCTCGGCCCGATTGCGCTGACGAGCGCTCATGCTGTGCTCTCAGCGTCCAAATTTTTTTTTAGTTTCTTGCTTTTGGAGCAAGAGATTCTACAAGTAGGCACACTGAATTGTACTTGCCAGCCAGCGGACTTTAAGTGGAGTAAAAAAAAGAAAAGCTTACTCAACGTAACACATCCAACACAACACTCACGGTGTACCACTCTGTTAAGATTCAGCAGGTATTAACACTAACCGTACTTGCTGATAGTACTTTGATTATTGTATCATAGAAAAAAAAATGCGTTTTACACATTCAACCAGTCAATCCGACAAATTCCTACGACTTCCCCTTCCTGTACAGGTATTAATCATGATATGGCATTGTTGTCTAGTGCAAGGCTAAACAAATGAAGGAAGTGGTAAATGGGTGAACTTCCTATCCGAAACTAGCCCCACAAATGTGGCCTATTTACTGGACTACATGTACCTCCGTAAACATAGGCCACACATCCACCATGTACAAAAACGTGTCGCACTTTGCCAAATTTTGATTTTCACATTTAGGCTTAGTTTGTAGGTTTTTTTTGCTTTAGAAGCATACTCACCCTCTTTATAGGCTAATCAGAAAGTGCTGCCTTTTTCAGATGTCTATTTTTCGTGAAATTTCCAGATTCATTTGCACACGTTTGCGTATCAAAATTTCAACATGAAATTTCACAAAAATTAGACATCTGAAAAAGGCAGCACTTTCTGATTAGCCTATAAAGAGGGTGAGTATGCTTCTAAAGCAAAAAAAAAAAAAAACCTACAAACTAAGCCTAAATGTGAAAATCAAAATTTGGCAAAGTGCGACACGTTTTTGTACATGTGGATGTGTGGCCTATGTTTACGGAGGTAGTCCAGTAAATTGGCCACATTTATGGGGCTAATCCGAAACCAGCCCCATGAACGTGGCTTACATGTTCATGTAAATACTGGAATTCCTCGGTACTGTGGGGAAAAGCTGATTTTGAGGATATCGAACTCGGGACTGTTTTTTTTTTTCACCACGGCTGTTGCCTGCCATTCCAAATTCTTTGAAGCCCTCTACAGTGAAGCGCGCCCTCTTGTGTGTGCTCTTTATCCGCGGCCACAAATGACATCCGGGTACTTCACAGAGCGCCAAAGATTTTGGAATGACAGGCAACAGCTGCGGTGCGCTTTGCCAAAGTTGACACACGCTCAGTAGATGGTTAAAGCTCTTGTCTGGTTCCCTGATCTGACCCCATTTGCCTTTTGACTATAATTAGGGTGGCCGGGAAACAGTCTGGTAAATATCACAGACGCCATGCTTTTTCAAAACCGTCTGAATTCTTTGACGAATTACCATGATTTTTGGATAACTAGACATCTGAAGGTACCAAATTTAACAATTTTGTGCTATTTTGGCAGTCATACTATAGCTGGGTTGATTTTCTGCTGACAAAATAATTTCGATCTTTAATTAATTTTCGGCTCCCCTAGCAACGGGACCATCCATAATACCATATGCACATACCACATGTGGTTAAGAAGAGCTCCGGACTCATGTTCTGGTGTTTCAGAGGCAACAGTCATGACAGTGACGTGGGTTCGAGCCAGCCGGCGGACACTTGTGCTCTTAAGCAAGGCACTTCACCATTTATATCGCTTCGTCCTTCGGATGGGACGTTAAGCTGTAGGTCCCGTGTGTTGCATAAATGCACGTAAAAGAACCCAGTGACACTTATCGCTAAAGGGGCTTTCACACTAGACGAATTACCCGGCAATTCCCCGGGAAATTGCCGGGGAATTTCGGTCGTCTGTTCACACTACCAAAGAAATCCCCCGGGAATTCGGGGGGAAAAGCTTTTCCCCGGGAATTTCTTACCCCTTCTCGGGAGTAGAGTTAAAGGAGAAATCCCCGGGGTTTTACGTATTTCCCGGGGAAAAGCAACTAGTGTGAACGTCGGCGGGTTTGAACTTACCCCCCCCTTTTTCCCCCTGTATCGATCGCATTTTGCAACACAATATTCAAGTGCTCCGAACTTTTGGAAATAAATCGCAATGCAAACGGTGTTCAGTTTGTCGATCGGGCCGTCGCATGACTGAAATACTCACAACTTCAGTTCGCAGCGCCTGGAAATGCTACTTTTATCCTCAAAAACATAACCATTTTCCAGCAACGTTTGAACGAACATGTAGGCAATATCCATGATAATTTTCCAACTGAAAGACTCCCAACTAATTCGCGTACGCTGCGCCTGGAAAATCTCGCCCACTTTTAGCCTCCAAAACAGACAACTGTCATCCAACAACGTACGTGTACATGTACATGCATTTTCCATGAAAATTTCTTCGATGCACGTGCTGAGCTGCAGTACTGCGTCACCAATGTGGATCACACCATTTACTGTAGGGGTGTACCATATTCTTTTTTTTAAGAATATTTATTTCCAAAACTATACAAAATTCTCTTTATGAAGTTTCGAAACATTTCAATGTTAGAAAAGAAGCTCCTCAACATCACAATATAATTTTTGTTAAGAATTTATTCGAGAAACGATGTAAAACTTTAAAAAGGATGATCCGTCCATATGATGCAAGGCGAATTGCCGTATGTTTTCCGAAGAAAATTGCGATGGAAAAGTTGATTTTTTGACGTTGCAAAGTCGTTGCTAAAAATAAAAATTTGATGAGATTGGTGGTAAAAAGAGGCCTGTTTGTTCTTATGGCATGCTCCCGACAATGCATGCGGGAACATTTCATCGTACTTCGCCGGTGCGGCCCGGCTCGGAAGAGCGGGTTAATTGGCCGGGCGCCGGGCCGGCTCCATGTCCGTCGGGGGATAGGTAGATAGCAATTCTCGATGCGTATTTCTCAACGTCATCATCAACGAGAAACTGAAAGTTTTCTCGAAATTAATAGCCGACTGTCCGCCTAATTCTTTTGCACAATTCCCGGGGTTTGATTGCGAGTGTGAAACGATCGTGCATATTCCCGGGAAATAGTGTCCCCGGGAGTTATCAAATGTGTCTAGTGTGAACGGTTGCTGGGGTGTTGGTGGGGTAAAAAATCCCCGGGAATTTCCCGGGGATTTCTTTCCCGGGGATTGGCTGTGCAGTATGAAAAGGCCTTTAGAGAAGGGGTTTGCCCCGGTGTTTCTGGCCTCCTGTATAAACTCCCACGTGGAGTATTTAGGAGAAGAACCAACCAAGAACTAAGAACCACATGTGTGATGTGTGATGTTAAATACGGAGGTAGGTAGTCCAGTATTTCCGTCACATTTTATGAGAAAATTGTTAAAACTTTTAAAAACGTAAAATCCTTCCTTAGTTAGGCCTACCAGTTTTTCCTAATAATATCAACAACTAACAGTTGAACTCTCTAACAACAATGTGAATTTCAATTGCACAAGTTGGGAAATTCCGGGGAAGTCCTGCACCACGCACACCTGATGACATCATGACACGAAATACATCATGAATGACATTGGCCAAAATTCCAAGCGCACTTCGCCATTTCATGTTGCGAGCGTAATAAAAACGGCTACCGTGACAGCAAAACAAACGGACATTACTGTGGTAAGATAATACTCTGGCCTTCCTTATACACTCACCGATCACGTCATCTCAAAAGCATCGTGAAAGTTCCGTATATTTTGTCGGAAAGTGCAAAATTCCATCATCTTGCAGTGCGCAATGCGCCGATTTCAAGTGTGTTGCAATTCTGATGGTAAGACTTTCTCAATGGACGTGCACTTGGTGTCGGCGTTTATTATCCGAGTACAATATTTTTTCACACTTTTGAAACATGAATACCTTCATCACCCACTGTATCTAGTTTCAATATTAAACTGTTTCTAGTTTCAATCTTAAAATAAATTTACAAAGAATTTTCAGCCTTTCCCTACAAACAGAATCGGTTAACATGAACTGTACGTTACCTTCATTGCTGTCAATTTTTCCAAAGAAAACAACCGTTCGTGGCCGTTACCCAGAGAGGGCGCAATTGAAAATAAATGGACAAAAAGTCATTACTAAGGGCTTTTACTAAGGCCAAAAAAAGTCTCCGGTTTCTGGTATGGAGCTTGACCCAAAAGTAGTGCAGCGACGCGGCTTTTTGTGGGGGGTACCTTTTTTTCTTCAAATGTCGGCTGATGACTGCAAATGGTGCCCGACTAAATTTAGTGCAAAATATATGGGAGTCCAGAAAGGCCACATACTCGATCGTAACCCCATCTAAAAACAAACACGTTAAATATTATTGTGCAGCAGCAGGAATCTGCAGGATTCCAGTCAAACCAGTGAGTTTGGCAGTTTTGAGACATCATCTTACATTGAAAAAAAAAACGTTTTGCCTTACGCACTGCGCCGAGCTAGCTCAGTCAAACATTATTATTTTTGCATAGAAATTCATTAAAAATAATGCGACCCCCCCCCCCCCCCCCCCCGTTCTGCACCCCGGCAAATGCAATGATATCCGCCTGTGCACAAAATACAGACCGAGCCAGCTGGGTTACGGGGTATTTGTACACTATAATACTGTTAATAATCGTTGGATTTGAACAGCGCGGGTATACGAGGCCCCACCCCACCTATTGATTTGACGGAGGCCAAGTGTCCGGACAACAACTGTCTACATTTTAGCGTTTATTTGTTGATGACCCCCCTGCAAAAAGCCTGGATCCGCCCCTGGTTCTTATAGGTCTTTGACTGGAGTCGGTTTCACAATAAAGCTCCCGACATCGACAGGGACTTAAATTCTGTGCGAGCCTACATTGTTACAACTGATAATGTAGTAACCAACTGATTACGTATCACCAACCGATGATGTTACACAAATTGACCGATATTGTATCACCAACCGATAATGTTACAAAAAATTACGGATACTGTAGTAAATGTTACTACACTATCGGTCACTATTTTTGTTACGTTATCGGTTAGGACTGACTGAAAATGTAGTACATTTTAACACACTATCGGTCCATTTTGTGTTACGATATCAGTTAGTGACACAGTATCGGTCAATTTATGTTACATAATCGGTTAGTGATACAGTATCGGTCCATTTATGTGACATTACCGGTTAGTGATACAGTATCGGTCCATTTATGTGACATTATCGGTTAGTGATACATTATCCGTTGGTTACTACATTATCAGTTGTAACACGCATGTTTCAGTGGTTAGAAACATATACATATACAGACATCTTCACATTTCAGATGAAATGCGTATTTGAGGAATCCTTCAGTAGGGCCTATCCAGAAATTACTGACAAAAGTAATAACACATAAGCACCTCACTAAGTGTGGGGAACAAGCGTATCGTTTATTTATGTTATGTGTATCATAAATACAAATACATTACTTACACAATGTGTATAAAATACTAACAACAATCATTATTTTCTAAAAGTGTCTAACTGTGAGGGGTATTTTGAGGGGACACATTTTGTAATTTCAAATTGGTAAGTCGATCAGAATGGGACCTTTCGGAATTCCTAAAGTTGTACCAAGGGAACGGATGTACTTATTGGAAATGGATGGAATCCATCGAAGGCGAAAATGGGAAACAAAATAATAAAAACAATTCTTGGTCAAACAGTAATGCAGACTTCATCCAGGTCTCAAGTCGACATTCGATTGTCGAATTCAAAGTTTGATTGTTTTGGTCCAGAGATAAAAATGAATAGGATTAAGTAACACAATGTGTTAAACGATGCTATAAAACTTTATACAACACCTGAATAAATCCCCGTCATCTGATTGGTGAATTGTAGAGCACGTGACATACTATTATTCGGTATAATGTACGGTGCGACCATGTGTTATACCCATGCGTTATACCGTTTCACTTTGCGCTTGTTCCATGACGCGGTATTTGCGTGCAAAATGCATGCTGGTGTGCGCGTTCAGCGTAGCGCGTATTGTTCCAAAGAGCCAGCCTTACAGCGTTGGGTTCAAACATTTTCGTGAAGGGGTAGTTCAACATCTTTAAAATCAAAGCAAATTGTAGTTTATAATTTACCAATCAAATGACGAGAATTTATTCAGGTGTTGTATAAAACAAATAACGAATGTTTTACGTTCGTGCGATGGAAAGAATAATTTCATTCGGTGACAGATTGAATGTTCTATTCCACTCGGCTTCGCCTCGTGGAATAGAACATTCAATCTGTCACCTCATGAAATTATTCTTACCATCGCACTCACAAACATTCGTTATTTGTATAATAACTTATACTTGAAAATATAAAATAAAAAATTGATAGATTTGCATAAGCTAAAAATACGGTCTTCAATTCTATTTCATGCTAGTAGCATACACAATGTATGATCGATGAAATGCTTTTAATGTTAGTATTGAACATTAGGTTTTTTTTAGTATTAAACGCTGAATTGCGAGAAAGTGGGTACATGAATGTACTTCTTTGGAGTAAATGGACCGATCCAGTAAGCACCGCCCCATGGTATTCTGACCAATCACAGCCGTGATTTATGTCCGACGTGCGTGCACAAAAGTCCGACATGCGTGCACGCGCGTATGATGCGCGCGGCAGGAAAATGCAGTGTGGTATTGGAGAGGAGCACGTGTTAATTTGCCCACGTGTGCAGTGGGAGGGGCTTACTGGATCGGTCCATTACTGGGGTGATATCATGCAGTTTAAAGTCCTGCCGGAATACACGTACCTAAAATTTCAGAACGCGTACGCGTGCGACGTGCGCATTCTGAACAGACTTGTCCGAACAGGCTTGTACTGTGTCCATACCACTATTATGTATGTTGGTCCCCATAGCATGCGATCTAGTACTGTACATCTTCTTGTTTTTACTTTACATTAGGCCAAAAAAAAATAATACTCGGTCTCTGGTCAGCGCGCGCGTCGATTTTAATCATGCGGGTCAACTTTTTTCTTCTTCAAATGAACACGGACGCTACAACAGCGCCCTCTATTGCCGCACCTTCTCAAATTTTTGTACCAAGGAGCACCAAGGAATGGTGAAATTGCACCAAGGCAAATGATAAAGGGCACCAAGGCAAATTATGGAGGACTACAATGTATAATGAGGACACAAACAAGCAAAATAGTACCCACCTTGTCTGAACAATTCAAGCTTGAAAAAAAAAAGCCACCAAAACAAAAACCAAAAAACCGCGTCGCCGCATCAATTACAGAACTTCGGTCTGACCAGAGACCGACTATTTTTTGTTGGCCTTATTTTGTTTTCTACTAAAATACTCTTTCTTAAACCGTTCACTACAATTACAACAATTATGTACATCAGTGCATTATACGCATTAATTTGTCTGAACTCCTTGGTTGTACGGAACTACGTCAGAATTTTTGTACAAATGCAGACAATTGATTCATGACGTGATATATACAGGCCTTATTCCTGTGCAGGTGAGGGCGCTGTCACGACGCAATTAGGGGGTTATTTGGACGTGTATCCAATGTTCTTGGCGTAAGTTTACATGTTGCTTCAATTCAAAAAATGACATTTTGCCAATCCTTTAAATGTTGGATTTGAGAGTAAAGGTATACATGTACTTTACTTCAGGGCCCAATTTCATAGCACTGCTTAACAGTAAGCAGAAAAGTTGTGCTTACTATAGCAGAAAATCATGCTGCTGCTTAAGCACTATTTCATGCCGTGATTGTGCTTACAGTTGCGCGCGCATGGAGATTTCTATTGTTACGTCACTGATTTAAGCAAAGTTTTCGGCTGAGGTTAAGCCTGCTTTTGCTGTGCTTACTGCTTAACGGTCCCTATGAAATAGATGGAGGCTCGGTAAGCACAAAGTCGGCTGTTAAGCAGCGCTATGAAATTGGGCCCTGTAGTGAACGGGAGATTTCTTGTGTTTGTACCATTGTACCCAGAAAATGGCGACCTCACTCGCTCAAGAAAAAGGCCTATTGCAATAGCATCTGGCGCCCTGTAGTGTCAGCCTTACAAATTGCATATTCATTAGGATGCATTGTCACAATTCCGCGTTGTCTCATGGTAATTATGCACTATAGTTTTCTGGAATAAAATTGTGGTAAAATTGTGGATAAATACTTCAAGTGATAAAAAGTCTTGCATTAGAAATGACTGTCATCGGCATCTTCCAAATCTAGGAGAGCTTGTTCTCACGCAGTGACAATCTCATGCATATGCAACAACCCTCATTTAAATTTCGGGGGGCTGTCATCACTTTGCCATTTCTAATGAGATCGAAAACTGAACGATAAAATGTATACAATAACAGCAAACACAAACAAACACGTTAATTAAAGTGCTCTTTTTGAACGAGAACAATAATATGTATACAAGCTTCATCTCCGGAACAAAAAACAGCAAACACTCGTCAGTTAACATGTCAAGTGGCACAGCCAAGCATTAAAAAACAGCAAAACCCAAATCTGAAAAGCTCTTTTCGGTACCATCTTCCAAAGATTGAATAGTAACAACATAACCTTTGCCGGTAATATGTGCATACAAATATTTCCTCGGCCAGAAAATAAAACAGAGTTAACTTACCCAACTAAACATAGACAAACCAGCAAAAACATTAAATTGATTGAGCGTTGATTAAATGAAATAGTTTCACGACACAACCCAAATACAAATAATCACTTTAAAAAATCTATACGGTGAGAACACTCCCTGTAGAAACCATCGTTCACAGGGAGCTGGGTCAGCGAGGACGCCATCTTAGTTCTTGTTCGATGCTTTCTTGAACGCTTCCACGGCTTCCTTTGTGTAGATCTTGAATTTGCTCAGCTTGTGTCCTTCGAATGCAAGGAACTCCTTCACATCTGAAGCACCGCCAACAGCTGTGTGGTTAAAAAAAAAGGTATAATTAGCGGAAACTATGAAGAAAATTGCTTCGGAATTTGCGACCCAAAATCGGCCAAATCTGCAACCATACACCACCACCTCGTTATCAAACTCCGAATCCTACCGCGGTGATGTTCTGCTTTAAGTATCGCACGGATATGTATCATCCTCTGCTAGTGCTCTTCATCACCAACAACACGACATCATGTATCAACAACACCTTCAAAACATCACCACTTACCCAGTGGAGTACCCAAGAAGAAGGGGGGGGGGGGAGGCTCGGGGGGCTTGAGCCCCCCAAGAGGTTCAATTTTTGTTTGGGGGGGGGGGGGGTTCAATTTTTTTTGTACCACGATTTGACCCTGGTGATAATGTATGTGGCCAATTCCGAATAATATAGGGGTATAAATGGCGCCACCAACGTCAAACTAGTCCCCCCCTAAAAAAAAATAAAACAAAATTTGGCAATATTTTTTGAAAAAAAATTAAACAGTTCCAGAAAAACTTGAAATAAAATTGTGAGCCCCCAGCTAAATCTTGCAGGGTGCGCCACTGCACTTACTATCATCACATCATCGTCATCATATACCAACACACATTTTAATACCACAACTACGACCACCGCCTCATCATCAATCTTCGTCTCCAAATCCTACCTCTTCGGCGGCGATGTTCTGGGTTAGGCAGCTCAAAGTCATCATCGTCGTCCTGATCGTGACCATCCTCACGACTCTCCGAGTCCTCTTGGTCCTGGCTGGCCCAGTACGCCTCCCAGGCTTCCAGCTCGTCTTCGGGGATCTTCTCGATCCAGTAGGACTCCACGCCATCGCAGAGCATGGGGATGTAGAAGCCGAATCGCCCGCTGTTCAGACTGGTAGGGGTGAGCTCCGGCAGGACCACGCGGTAAGTCTCGTGGACGGTCTCGTAGTGATCGGTGAGAAACTGTGGGTTCTGTTTGTAAATATAAAACCAGAAGTATGAGAAGTAGGCATGAGAAGACCTGTTCGTGCTCTCATTGTTACTGAATTAGACATAAAGATAAATATGTACATGCAAATGTTCGAGGAACGAAAAACCGGGGAAAACTTTACCTCTTCGGCTCGCTCAATGAACTCATCTGGTCCCATCACGATTTCCTTGTCCAGAAACGTGACGTAGCAAACCTGGGAGCGACGGAGCCTATATGCAGTCATGTTCTGCCGATAAGGAGAAAAACAAAATTAGTACATGTATGTGGGACATGACTTCTCGAACGCTGTTCACGAGGTACAGTAATTTACATACGAACACATCTTCTTTTTGAGTTTATATAAAGTGAGAGATCAATGCTAGTCAACGCTTCGTCACACGGCCTATATGCATTCATGTTCTGTCATGAGGGAAAACCAAGCTGGTATCGGGCATCTGACTGGTCGAACATTGGTCGAACATTGGTCACGAGGTGCATTAATTTACATACGAACACATATTCTAGTTTTTTGAGTTCATGTAAGGGAGAGATGACTAGTCTTCACTTCGTAATGAGCCTATATATTTTTTTTATGAGAAAACTGCCAGGGTACTGATTGGTCGAAAAAAAAGGTCACGAGGGACAGCGATTTGCATGCAAATACGCTTTTAAAAATGAGAGGTCACTACATCACAGTCAAACGACGAGTTGCGAGGTTGGAAAAAAATATTGAAAGCCATTAAAAACAAAGATATTTAAAGTTCTATGTGGAAGAAAAGGCAACTTTCTTGTTGAAAAACGGCCCATACGCTGTAGGGACTACTACGACTACTACGACTACCACGACAACAGCAGCCGATGTCACAAAATGACGCAACTCAACTTACGCCCCCTTTTATTGCGCAAGTTGCGCAACATTAATTCACATTGCGCAACATTTCACAAAACTTATTCAAAAGTTACACAGTGGGTAAGTCCGCGTATTTACGCAACAAATGTATTGCGAAGTAATGAATTGTTATTCACCCGTGAAAAAAAAATCATCTTTAGAGTTGCCGCACGAATTCGAACAAGGTCGGACAAACTTATTTTCACGGAATGGCGGGCGGCGGTGTTTTTATCTGCAGCACACATCGTCAATGGATCATAATTATTCAGCTACCATGTTTATTCATAAGAAAATAAAAATGACGTCACACCACTGCTATCACTCAGTCACACATGTACATTAATCCATTTCAAAGAACTTCTTTCGTCGAGCTGCCACAGTGGCCAAGTGGATAGCGGGATGAACTATGGATCGCAAGATTTATGGTTCCAGCCCGTGCCCGCTTTCATCAAATATTTTTTTTGTTGGTTGGGATAGGTTTAATTGAAGGGAAAACACTACGAGAACCTAATTGTCTATCCACACAGGGCGATAAATATTCATGTCAGGGTGCGTGATGTGATTGGTTAAAAGACGATGTATGCTACAGGAAAAAAATCCGCTGGCGGGCGGAGGTGGCTCAACGACTGTTTCGTGATCGAACAGAAATAGACGTCATAAACGAAATAAAAAATTGAGGAATTTGTCCGTACCACGGTGAAGTCATGGAGGATAGTGAGCCTCTCGCAGTAGTCCTGTTCAGGTATTTCGATCTGCTCGTAGCCTTCAAAGGGGTCCACCTCCACTTCTTCTTCTAGGGTTCCGCGGTCCTCATGACTACTCTGGGAGGAGAACAGAATCAACCAGAATTTGGTTTTAAGATTAGATTTTTTTTTTTTTGAATAGGTCACAAAACTAAACTGAGGTTTTGGAATGAAACGTTAGAGAGCTTATATACGTAGACCTACGGAATAGGTAAGCTGTGTTAGGCCAAAAAAAAAAGTCTCCGGTTTCTGGTATGCGCGCGCGTCGCCGTAGCCATGCGCGTCGGCAAAATGAAAACGTTTTTTTTTCAATGAAAGATGATGTCTAAAAACCGCCAAACTCACTGGTTTGACTGGAATTCTGCTGCTGCACAATTTTAACGTGTTTTTAGATTGGGTTATGGTCGAGAATAAGCTTTATGTGGCCTCTCTGGACTCCCATACATTTGCACTAAGTTTAGTCTGGCACCATTTGCAGTCATCAGCCGACATTTGAAGCAAAAAAATCAGGTTAAAAAAAAAAAAAGCCGCGTCGCCGCACCACTTTTTGGGCAAGCTCCATACCAGAAACCGGAGACTTTTTTGTTTTGGCCTTAGGTATTTATAAAAATTGTTTAAAGATCCTTCACTCACCGGGTAGTCTTTGTAGTCTCCGTATCCAACTCCACAGCGAAATTGATACTGGAGAATAGAAAGATTTTCTTCAGCATAAATTAGCATTTTGTTTTTATTGATGTCTTAAAAAATACATGTTATTAAAGAATGTACAATGTATAAACTGTTGTGAAATTACACAGACTTTATTGCTCATCTATAATTGATTAATTGCTTATTGATTATTGGTAAAATATCCTCTGAATTACTTACGCAGCGATGACTTGTGCGTGCGCGCTTTGAGCGCAGAGAACCTGCGCAGACGATGCATTCCTGCTGCGCGTAAATCAAAGACGCACGTAAGCAGCGCGAACTTGTTTTGGTCGCGCTAGCGCCCTCTTTTGACGGAGCGCGTAAAGTTGTTTTGCCACGCTACACGCTACCTGAAGTATAGAATTATATCGTAAATATTATTATTAGAATGTTTGGTTCTTTATTCCATTGTAAACACTTTGTTGAATAAGTGCAGTTTACAAGACAGGAATTAGTGAGTTGTTGTTCTGATTCTGAACCGGTCGGACCTGTGTCCGAGCGACAGTAATAAAATAGTTGAAACGTACATGATTGTTTCTCTAAGTCTCCGCGTTTCTCATCACGGTAGAACTCACCACAAAACTTTAATACGAGTTCCAACAAAGATTTGGTACATGATCATTCCAGCACTTTTCGTATTTCTACATTATATACCTGACATGCATATTCAAGATGTCATTCATTAATAAAAAAAAATAACCTTTCCAGAGGCGTATCCTAAGAACATAACAACAGCCAATCAATGATGTGGAGCTGCGTGAGAAGCATTGACACGCAGATATTAATAAAAGAATGTATACAATTATTTAAAAACGAGTTCCAGCAACGATATTTCACAGTTCCAGCACTTTTCCTATTTCTACCATAGATATAGAATAAAAAGACTAGATCGGCAGCGCGTCCACACGCGCCAATTCGTGGACGCGCAACAAATTAACGTAAAGTAATGGAGCTAAATGTATCTTTCCTCCAGCACGTGACCTAGTTCAACGCGCGCGAAGCATAGCGCGAAGCTAAAAATGCGCACCGTTTACGCACTGTGCGCGTAAACGGCGTTGCGTTCGTCACGTTTTTGCGCATTATTTGTATCTTTCCTCCAGCACGTGACCCTCCATGAAAGTCCGCGCGTGTGGACGCGCTGCCGATCTAGTCTTCTTATTCTATATCTATGATTTCTACATTACAGTATCTGTCATGAATATTCACGATGTCATTCATTAAAAATATTAACCTTTCCGGAGGCGTGGCCTAGGAACATAACAACAGCCAATCCAATGATGAGGAGCAGCGTGAGAAGCATTGACACGCACAGACAAACGCCGAGTTTGCGCGGTCGGTTGACCACCGGGATAGGAGCCGCTTCGACGGTGCAGTCATCGTACTTGGGTGGGAGGTCGGTTCCAAGCTGCAATTGGACGAATCAAACAAGAGGGGAGGAGTCAGAAACTGGACATTATCTACGATCTAGTTAATCAGCAAACATGTATAACATCCATCTTTAGCGGCAGGTCGGTTCCCTGTTGCAATGGACCGATCCAGTAAGCACCGCCCCATGGTGTTCTGACCAATCACAGCCGTTATTTATGTCCGACGTGCGTGCACAGAAGTCCGACATGCGTGCACGCGCGTATGATGCGCGCGGCAGGAAAATCATTGTGTGGCATTGGAGAGGAGCATGGATTGTGTTAATTTGCCAAGTGCGCAATGGACGGGGCTTACTAGATCGGTCCTTTGGACGAATGAACGAAGAGGGGCGGAGTCAGAAAATTGGTTACAGTGACTATAGAACATCCATCTTGAGAGGCAGTCAGTTCCCATCAGCTGCAATTGGACAGATTAATCAAAAGGGGTGGGGTCAGAAAATTTACATATTCATTACATGCTAATAAGTGGTGATGAAGTCCATGGACCTGTTTACCAATAAATTCGTAATTATGCACGCATGCGCATTAATGGACATGGCAGCAAAAAACCGAAAGCTGTCCATTGCAAATGTACAGGGGTCCAAATATTCGGGTCATTTTCTTTTAATTTCTCCATTAAAAAATTATGAATGTATTAGTAAAAAACGTCCATTTGGGAGGAGGTTGGTTACCAACTGCGATTGGACAAATCCAACATGAGGGACCGAAGTCAGAAAATTTACATAATTATTGATCTGGTTAATAAGTGCCTAGCCAAAGATATTCTATCTTGGGTTGGAATTCAGATGGGAGTAGCAGTTGGGAAAAAATTAACACAGGGTTGGAATGACCTACTAGAAAAATAATGTTTTTGAGTATACCATTAGCGCCGCTAACATTGGGCTCTTCCAAGAGTTTTACCTGTTGATAAGCGACACGTGGGTCTGTGAAAGTATTTATCCAGGGAAAAAACATCTGATTGTCTTTAACAAAGCCAGAAGATCTTTGGTAACAGTCTCATTAAAAAGACAAACGGAAAGGCCAACTTGCTCATTAAGGCGCAGCTCCAAACATAGAAACAGAATCCAGGTATCAAAACGTGTTATTTCATCAGTCTCTCATTAGGACAGGGTATCTAAAAATAGGACGGTATTGAGAGGCTTTCGGAAGGCTCTTAATGGGCGTTGGTCATTTCTTCACAGCTTTCCCAATTTCGGAGGGAACTAAAGGAGATTTCTGGAAATAATTGGGCACGTTAATGAGACGGTCTCGGTTCCGCAATCTGCGTGCCCGCTTCCGTATATGGCGGGAACGCAGTCCGATCTTAATTGTGACGCTGCAGTTGTTCGTTTGACAATCACTACCGGGTGAGCCCAAATAAAAACGGAAAAAAGAAAGCCAAATGTCGGCATTATTATTTTAGTGAAGTTTTACATGTAGTACTTTCAAAATCTCGGGTACGAACGCACAGTCCATAAGCTCCCTTTAGTACAATAGTCATTCAAATCACTCATGAACTTTTCAAGTTACGGAATTTAAAACACAACCGCCGTTTTAAAGTTCTGTCCACGGATCACAAAAAAAGGTGTGCGTTCTTTCAGCAACACGAAAGCAATTCACACACATCCCTATGTGATTTGTTTATCGTTTTGCCGAAAGAACCGTTTGTGATCCGTGGATAGAACCTTAAAACGGTGGTTGTGTTTGAAACTCCGTAACTTGAAAATTACATAGGTGATTGCAATGATTCTTGTACTAAAGGAAAGCTGATGAATTGGGCTTTCATATCCTAGATGTTGAAAGTGCTACATGCAGAACTTCACTAAAACAATGGTCCCGACATTTGGTGTTTTTTTTACTAACCCTGTACTCTCGATTGTATCATCTGTGCGCGCCTCATTCAAATAAAGAGTATTCTTTGAAAAAAAGGGCCATACGTGTTATTCTTAGAAGAATTGAGCCCAGTTTATGACCTTTTGATTTTTAATTTCCATTTTATTCTATTTTTTTGGCGTATAATTTGCCTCTTCTTTTCATTCGCAACGCAATAGATTTCGACCAATCCGGAACGCATGGTAGAAAACATAATAAACACAGTCCAAATCTGCCCTTGGTATCCACGGCAACGGGCAAATTCAATCGTGAAATACGACCCGTGACTTCTCCACTTATTTTACATGTACGCAACCAGGCTTCCGGCTCTAAAAAACAAACATATGAGATACAAAATGAGACACGTAGGCCTAACAAGTCGTTTCCAGAGATACATTTCTCATTGCTATGTGACTTTTGATTTGTAACAGCCAGTGGAAAAACATCAATGCGTTGTCTCCACATTTTCCATTGTAAATAAGGGACTGTCCAATTCCCCTACGATGAAATATGCAGGTATTCAATTTATTTCTATTTCAATATTATTATTTATTTCCCAAAATATCACAATTAATAACAGTGTATTTACTAAACCGTTAACTGCAGTAGGAGCGCAACTTAGGTATTAAAAGTCACGCTGATTTCATTTACGAAGACAATGTTTTTAGGGATCCATTAACAAGGATGAAAATAATGATCGTATTTGTTTGCATTTATGTGCAACTGCGACCTTTGTCGGGCGGCGAGCTGCCTGGTCAATCCATTTTTATCTCTTCAGGAAGCCCAAGATGAGGCTGGGAGTGACGTCACGTCAAGGGTATTCAACGGCATAAAGTTCACAGGATGGAAGTTCGCCATGATGCAACCACCAAAATAGATTCAATTAAAGGTAGAGTCCATCATTTGCAGCCATCCGAAAAGTAACTGGCGTAAATATTGTTGAAAAACTAACTTGGTTGAAAGATAGTAAGGAGACTAAACTCCCTGTGAAATTATTCTTTCTGGGAAGCTGTCATTTTGAAGTAATCAACGAAAGAAGGCAGTTCCAACGGTGATTCTTAAGAAGCACCGTAGGAAAATTTAAATTAGTAGTTCGTTTTGTTATTCAGCGCAGCGCGCACAAGTATTCGAACGACGCACACGCGCGCGCGGTCGTTATAATTCGTCGGATCAGTGCGCGACGTCGCGTATAGTTGCAATTCAAAACAATTCAAAACATGATTCAGCAACTTTTGATTTGAAATTGAGATCTTAGAATGCTGTTTTTCTCGGAATGTACAGCTGAAGCTGAGCTGAAACTTCATCAGGTTAGTTGCTCAGTATCCTTCATTAGATTTTGAACTCTTTTGTTGCTTCAAACGAACAAAATGCACAAATTACAAATGATGGACTACACCTTTAAACACGTACGAGGAACGGTTCAACTAAAAATAATTCCCCATACGTTTCCTGCAGGTTTTAAACATAACACTTATTTGGTTCTTTTGCTATATATAGCACCGTAATGCCTTGTCGTTACGGCGAACATACATTACTTATGAGCTCGTGACAAAGCGATCGTCATCCATTGTAAAATTCCAGAAAAAATATTTTGGACTTCAAAGCAATGTAAATATAATACATGATTACTTTGGACACGTGTTTCCAAAACAGCCATAAAGTAAAAAAAATACTAGCCATCTCCTTTACCCATTATTGACATTACTGCCCCATGTTCAAAGTGAAAGCAGTGTGAGATTATTTCCTCAATATAAAGTCTTTTCAAGTTGAAGCCAACGAAAACGAGTTGATCACAATATTAACCTATCGCGGTAGAATCGCGTCAACGCAGCTTGTGATATATTGTCCAATTACATTACATACAATGGACGCGGGAAATCCGAGACAAACAAATCTTAACGTACAAAACGCCATATAGGGTATGTCTAAGGGGTTTGGCTAACTCGCAAACAGCGATAGGTCAATTAAGGAACCGACGACACACACTCTTACGAAAAATCACCGCGGCTCAAATTCAGCCTCTAAATATAGTAGCCTTGACATTTAAATTGACAGCCTATACGCCAAGTCGAGAAGAAATCACGGCAGAGCCAAATGCCCAAAAGAGGGCTCTCTCCAGACGACCGCTCCTCTGATTTCTGTCGACAACGAGACTGCCTCTTTAAGGCTACAATGTACAAATGTTCATCATACATTGTGTATGATAACACAAATTTCGTTAATCCGTTAATCCAAATGCCCAAAAGAGGGCTCTCTCTAGACTACCAATCCTCTGATTTATGTCGACAACGAGACTGCATCTTTAAGGCTGCATGTACAAATGTACATCATACATGTAGCCTTAAAGAGGCAGTCTCGTTGTCGACAGAAATCAGAGGATTGGTCATCTAGAGACATTTGTATGTGATAAAACAAAGTTCGTTGATCCGTTCTCGGTTCTCTCCCGGCAAGTTGCAAAAACAAAACAAAAAAGGAATCTCTTAGTTGCTCTTTCGATTTCGAATTTCCTGATTGAATTATGTGCATGTGTACTTTCCAAGGAAGCTATACAACATTAAAAATCAGCGAGCATTGGGCTCATCGGTAACAGGAATGCAGAAAAAATGCGATCGTGTCCAGGTCGCTTGATGTGCGTATATAGATCTCATTATCTTTGCAAATGAACCGCTTGTGTGAGTTAATATAAAGGTAGATGCAGTAATGTGCGTTTGATCAGCTTTGGCTTGTTCTGTTTTAACCTCTGGCAGAAGCTTCTCTACATGTCACTTGGTGGTTGGTCGGTCTGTTCCCGGAAAATTGACCAAAAGAAGGCTCAATAAGGCCAAACAAATACTTCTGCTTCCGATTACATGGGATTCGAAAATAGGGTAGGTAGGTAATTTTCTTTTTTCTCTCCAATTTTGTGTCACGTGTATGATCATATGGAAGCGTCTGCATGTAGTCAAGGGTAAAAGGTAGAAAGTTATGGTTTTGGGTCATTGTTCTCATTTTCCCATAAAAAAAATAGGGATGGGGCTGTCAGAATAGGGTAGGTAGAGAAACCGGAAGCAGAACTATTTTTTTTTTGGCCTAAGTTTCCCACAAAACATAACTGCCAAATTTTTATTAAAAAAAGCAAACAAAATAAATT